AGCCTCTTAGAGCAAACTCAAGTAAAATATGTATCCTCGACCAAGATTTGCGGGAGAGAAAAGCGCAGGTCGCCTTCTTTCTTGTATCAGTCCAGCAATGATGTTGCCAGGCGTTTCTTGCCCCCGCAAGATCGAATCGAGCCGTCAGCCTGGGGCTTCCAGACTGCAGTACGATCTATTTTTATTTCAATGTGTAGATACTACGTAGTTGCGGATCAAACATGCTCGGAAGAAGAATCAGACAAAACTGTTAGCCAGTCTTTGGACAACCCACCAACTAGGAGCTTTACCCTTCCTCCTTAGTGTAAGTACTCTGCAAAACCAAGACGCTCAGCTTACATGGAGGAAGCGGGAAGCAGTTTTTGTCAACAGCGACGCCATGCTCATTTGAAGCTATGACAGCCAAATTCGAATGCGCCAACATCACTAACGCCGTCTGCCTCATTTGCCGACCTCTCGAGAACATCAATATTCAGTTTTCTGTGGGGGTCAAGGACCCTTTCCGTAAGCGACGTGTCGTGGCGCAGAGCCTTTTAGCACTGGCAACAATCATGATGGCATCATGGGCCAGTTTGGCAGTCGTGGTTATGCAGGGAGCGGACGGGCTACATTGCGCAGAGCATCCTTGCATGCACAAGACAACATGTGCACGCCAGGTCGTCCTCAGTTCGCATAATAGGAGAGGGGAAACTGAGCAGAAGTACGAATGTACATTCGTATGTTGTATGTTGTCATGCATACGATAAGTGCGAAAAGTGGACCTTTATCCAGCACACAAGTGCGATCCCCATGCGGCGAGGCCCATTTCCACCAGGTTTGGCTTGGCTTGACCGTTTCTTTTCTTTTCTCCTTCTTTATCAGCCGTTCTTTCCGTTGCCAGAAAATGCTGCCGCACATGGCAGCCACCATGCTGGCTGGCGTCTTCCAAACTCGGAGGAATGACCTCCCTTTTCTGCTCTGACTGTCTTGCCTGCCCCCTGTTCATTTCGAACGCCCCAGCGCCCCTAGCACTCTTCACACTCTTCACCCGCCCTTATGCACGTTGTAACCGAGCTTACACTATTCTTCGTGGGAGGGGTTGCTGCCGATGGGACCCACCAGCCAGGGTCGAAGCGGATAGCTCTTTCCTTCCTCGTCCTCGTTGCCAATCTCGTGCGCCGCAGGAGCATAAAAAGCAGAGTTTGGAATTTAATCATGAAGCGATCGCATTGCGGTTGTATCCTGAGGTAATTATGTGGAGTTCGATTGTGCCTTTTAGTTTTTTTTTTCTTCTTCTTTTCTTTTACTCGGCGATAGTTCTTTTTCTTTTCTTTTTTTTTTAAACCCAGGAAATCTTAAGGTTTCTTGTAATAGCCTGCTCGGCCTGCTCCTTCCTGCTTGTGAATATCACGTTCTTTCTGTTCTTAACTTTGCGGACATACTACACTTTTTAAATGTTGTTCGCTCTGTAGCATTTTGTTCTCCTTTTGCTGCTTTCTCCTCTTCCACCTCTTCTCATCTGTTTATTCTACGCTCATTTTCACATTTGTGTTGCGGATTCGCCCTGTTCAGAAGCCCACCCTCCCGTTATTCTTTATCCACGCCCTCCACCATACCACTCCTAGACCCGCCCGCCATTCCCTTTCTAGTCGCCGCCCCATTGTCGCTCCCTTTTCTGCTCAACGGTCTTTCTGGAAAATTATGGGGCTGGCAACCGAGGATTCGCTCTCGCTATTCTTGTTCGGGCACGGCATACGTACTATTCAACGTTCAAAGAGCGCGCCTCCCCCAAACTGTGGAAGAATGTGGACCAGACGGTATGCCATGACCCTATGCTGGTTTGGAAGACATTTGAACAACAGTCAGCGGTACATATTCTCCTCTACGGTCCAAACGCCAGAAGCGCCAGAAACGCTGGCCAAGACCCCGGCCGGTGAGATCGAGCAAACAACGTGAACATGACAAGACGGGGGCCGCAAGGATCGGGATTTGCCCTCCCCATCCTAGCATGCTTTTCCTCTCGTCGATTTTCCTTGTATTTTCAAGTATTTCTTTTTGTTGACCCCCTCCCCTTGCCGCATGTCATTGTTAATTATTAAAGCGTCTTGAGTAAGACTCTCTTGTGGCCAACAAGGAAGCGCAGGACTAAATGCAAATGCATGCTGCTCGGTTTCTTCATCACACGTCTGCGTGCGGATGCGCGTGCCATTCCTGTGCTTTCTGTCTTTGGCTTAGCAGGGCAAGTCTGTTACAATTTTTACTTGCAACAAACGACGAAAGATGGCCGCATTGGCCTTAGACTACACGTCAACTATTAACTGCAGCATGCTTTTTACCTGGGGTGACAAGGGGCATGGAAGTGGAACAAGGCCTATACAAAAAAGAAAGAATGACAGGAGAGGAAGAATGGCAGGTGGTGGGGGGGAGTGTGGATAGGTGTCAACGACAGGGGGTGTGCGGCTTGACGTGGACTGGACAGAGTGTGGTGGGTGGGGAGAAGGATGAGAGGCAAGCTGCTGACAGGGCCTGTCTTCTCTCTTTCCTTTTCTTTTTTTTTTATGTACTTCGTACGAAGGAGAGTCCTCCGCCTGTGCTCCATTCATGCCGGCCAAGGCATGTGTGAATGACACCGGCGGTGGACATGGGGGCGTCTTGCATGGGCTGGCTGGCTGGTTTGCGGGCTCGAAGCACAAAAAAACAGAGCCAGATGCCGAAAGGGGACCATACTCATTTGGCCTTTCAACTTCAGTCTCCTAGAGTCCCCCAACCTTTGGGCCTCTGTTCTGCATTTTCTCTATCGTTGTCCCTGCTGGTCCATTCCTCCGTTGTATTTTGTCTACCGCACACCACGATCACAGCAAGCAGCGAGCGATCCAGAGCTTTCGACTTGTTTCTTCCCAGTCTTTATTTCCTTCTTTACGCTTTAGTTCGACCACCACATGAACGGCGTACAGTAAATAAACGGCACCCAGTTATCTCCAACAGCGGCAGAACAGAAAACACCATCCCACACTCACTCGTGCGTATTAGATGCGATGAACACACCGCATCTTCGGCCTGTATCCTGCGGACATCTTCTTTAAACCCAGCGAGGAATATTCACCTTCACCAACCGTTGTTCGATCCTCTCCTCCTTGGGTTTGCTGTCCTGCTTGTCTGACAGTTGCCTGGTTGCTGAGCGTTCTCTCTGCGAAGTGTAGTTGAAAAGCAGATGCCACTGTAAGTAAGGTGCAGACAGCAAAAGCAAGGAACGCCAACCACAACAATGCCTCACGCTTGCTAGCTGTGTCAAATACTAACCCGCAGCGTCTCGCCTTAGGTTGCGTCTGCATTTTGTGCTTTCGTCAGCAACACTCTGAACGTTGCATAAGTTGACATTGGCTTCTCTTTTCACTTCCTGGTCTTCCTCGTCACCCTCCAAACACCATTCCGTGCCTTTTTTAACTCCCCTGCATTGTTCCTCCTTGTATTCCTTGGGTTGTTTTCCATTCCTACCATCTCTGGTCACTGCCAAACACCTTGCTTTTTACCTGAAAGGGGCATCACACGACGTGGCTGGCTAATCGACCATAATATAAGTAACGGTGTGTTGCACATACCACGAAGCTCTTCAGAGAAGAAAGACCCAAGAAACAAAAGAATAAATAGGCAGCCGAGACGATTTAACGACCAAACAAAGTCGGAAGCAGGGCACTGATTGGCAAACCAGACCTGTCAAGCCAACAAAGAAGGTGGCACGCCATCTTCTTTCCTCAAAGTGGGATTATTTTGCTGCTACCAACAATAATTACCTGCGATGGATAGAGAGCACAAGAAGCCCGACTAGCAAGATCTTCTCATGGTGCCTCAATCTTGCCTCCTTCCCTGACAGGCAACAACTCACTGGCCCTCTTTGTATGCGGTACTGAACTGAAGACACCCCCAAGGCCGCCATCGAGCAACTATACCCCCCTCCCCAGTTCCTGCAGACCTCACCAGGCCCTGGGCCCTGCAGAAGACGCTGTCGAAAGGGAAAGCAGTCCAAGCAGACCAAGATTATTCTCGACCCGAGATTGATCCTTGTCATCTCTCCTCCCGTATCCACCTAATTTGGTCCCCCTACCATCCTTCTCTCCCTGCTCGCTCCACTGTTCACTGCTGCCCACCTTGCCTGGCCAGGCCTTTGCCCCCATACCACTTGTGTGTAAGGATAGTGCCGACAGACTTTCTCACGAAACACTCCCCTTCATCATCTGCCGTTCCATTTTATACAAAAGCACACCTCGTCCTGCGACAATAGCCATCCATCAACGGTCTTTCGTTCTTGTCTGCTCGGACTGCACTCTTGGTTCAATACGGAAAGTCGCCATCCTTTGCCGGTTCGATATTTCTCTTCTCTGTCGCTTCAAACGAATATTGTCTTCATCTCTGGACGACAACAACGGCACACATCGTCGTTTTGACGCCCTGACCACCTGGATATCCGCAAAGGATCTCCGGCCTATCCTTTACTTGAATCGAAACACGGATTACAGGCACCAACGATATGGTCTCTGTCTTTCCCTCTGCCACCTGTTCTGATTTGTTCCCTTGACCATCTACGACTAGCTGGACCGCACTCACGATTTCAGAGACAAGAGACGAAGAAATTGGGACAACGGACTCGTCGACCATCGCCAGCCAATCTACTGAGACGACCATCAGCTTTCCGGACGTGGATTGCGGCATCTTCTTCATCCGCTTTTGGTGTTCCCCGGACTGCTGAGTCTGCAGTCCGCGATATCGTTGTCCACTTATCAAAAAGCAAGGGAAAAGAAGAAAAAGGAGACAGAACAGCGCTTAGTTTTCTGTCCTATCTTTCTTTACTTTTTCTTCTAACTGGCTGGCCGCTCCCTTCTTGTTTGTTTCTCTTTCACCCTTCACATCTTCCCCTACTTTTGTTATTCCTCTTTTCCAATCCACCCAACTATCTCGCTTGAACGACTCCTGCACAACATTGGTGGTGGCATGCTCCCATGTCAACCGCAACCTACACAGCGACAATGGCAGAGCTGAAGGAGCCATCACATGGCATCTGGACCGGTTACGGCAGCCCAGTGCAAATGGCAAACGGGCGTTTCGGGCATCCGGGAGCGTTGGATCCGGTTCTTGCCAATGCGGCCGCGGCGGCACCTCCGGGCCCACAATCGGCACGGCCGAGAACAGACGCCACTGGCTATCCGTACACGCGGTACCCGCAAGACGACACTGACATCTACGGCAGACACCATTCAACATCAAGTGCCAGTGGCGTGCCGCATCCGTCACTGACGACACACCAAAGCTACCCGAACCTGAAGCGGACCTACTCACAAACAGAGCAGCACCAGCAACCACCACCGTCGCAAGCCCCACCATACGGAGACATGGTGCAAGACATTCGCACCGAGGACGGCTCCAAAGTCAATGTGAACCAGGGCCATAAGCTTCTTTCCTTTCGACGGGCAGCGGACAAGCACACGATTGTAGACCGCCACGGCCGCATCCAGCAACTGGATCTTTCCGCACAACTGCACGGCATGTTCTTTTTGTCCGAACTGCCCACAAGCTCGAGCGACGGTTCCGTTTTGCAACCAGAGTTGACGTGCTACCGCCGCAATCTCTTCCAGATCAGCGGCACGCTGATAACACCTAGAGGGCAACTGTCCGTCGTGAACGAAGGTGGCGAATCGGTAGCAGTTAGCTCAACCGAGTTGACAATTTCCGCGATCGAGTCTGTAGATGGCCATCCGATTCGCCTGATTGTCATTCCATGGAAAACCCCACCGCCAAACTCGCCCGAAGTTGCTCAGAACCCCGATCAGGAGCCGGTGCCTCTGCCGCTGATTCCGTTTCAGGATGATGGTTCGGAGGCAGAAGGCGAGTATGCAGTTTATCCGATAGGCTGGCGCCGTCTGCAATTCCGGATGTAAGTTTAGGAGAAAGCGTGTACGATACCAGAATCATCGAAGGTATGTATATGTTGAACGGGTTCTGAATTGGTTGCTAATTTGCGATTTTTGCCTCGCAGAGCCACGGCGAATAATGGACGGCGCAAGGAACTTCAGCAGCACTTCGTTCTACACCTAAAGGCCGTTGCAACTCTGGCCAACGGATCAAAAGTTGTCTTGGCCGAGTCGACCACCGCACCAATCGTTGTACGTGGCCGCAGCCCACGCAACTTCCAAGCCAGAAAGGAAATCCCTTTGCTGGGTTCAAGTGCCGGTTCGAGAGGCCAGGCTCTGGTCGAGACAGGAATGGGCATCGTCGCAGGCCCTCTGACTGTGAAGACACAAGATAAAGCAAGAGCAATGGCGCTAGATTTGCCCCGTTCGTCCTTTACCTTCACCGCCGCGCCCAAGATGCCACCCAGCCCGCTGTCGATGCGGTCCAAGTACGTTTTAGAGATGTGATGGCCATTTTTGAATACTGGAGTGTAAATAAACACTGCCAGAGGGGTTGGAGGTATAAAAGCAACGACTAATCCCACATCTCTTTGTAGCTCGTACCCAGCGTGGAATACGCAACAGATGCCGCTGCCTCCAGCAAGTGGCGGCGCGTACCCGGCAACCTCCATGGCGAATGAGCCTTACCAGAAGCTGCCGATAACGGGCTCCCCGCACTACACAGCGGAACCCCAGGAGATGCCTATGCAGCAGGCCTCGTCGATGCCTTCAGTGCAGCTCTCGCTTGTCGCTAACGACCATCCGCAATCGAACATTCGGACGCAGTACGCTTATGTCCAAGGAACGTCTGCCCCGCCACCGCAAATGTCCCTGCCAACTGCCAGTGATGCCAGTGGCCTGAGCATCCCGAGATATGTTGACAACAACGCGCGCCCGGCGAAGAGCCCCCGCCACGGAAACAATGACTCTGTCCACAGTGCGGCGTCCTTGAGCACGAGCAACGACACACCTGGCGAGTATAGGTATGCCCCGACACCGTACTTGGGCGTCGGGAGCACCAGCGAGCTAAGCCCACACTCGCAGCACCCGCAACATGATGCTCAGCATTCGCCATCGCAGCCACCTCCGCCACAACAGCAAGGACGTACCCAGCAGCAACAGTCGCAGCCTCAGTCACAGCAGCAGTCTCCGTCACAGCCACTACCTCTCCCCCACCCGCAACAGCCGCCGCCGTCACAGCAGCAGCAGCAGCAGCAGCACCAGAGTGCCCCCCAGCACCACCAGGGGCAGGCGTACGGCCCAACGTCGCACGATACTTCAGGCAACAACAGCACGGCCAACCCGCCTTCAGCGTCTCACCCGCCTCCCCGCGACTATTATCCATCGGCGACTTCATGGGCACAGCCTCCTGGTGATGCGAGCCAAACTCCGTATGCGAACGGCGAATCTCGACACTATTCCTTCCCTGATCAATACAAGGCCGGCCACCAAGTTAAAAATGGCGAAGCTCTTCCACAACCACACAGCTATGCTGCCCGGGGATCGTTCGATGCGACGACGATGAACCACTACTCTTGGAGTGCGGCTTAGCTGTCGACAAAATGCGGCGATATACCGATGGAACCAGGAGTAGCTCACAGTCGACAAGGGCCCTCGTACGCGCATCTTGCTCGCTGCGTTATATATACTTTTATTTCTTGGCTGTCATTTTTTGAGTGAACTTTGTTTTTTGGAGGGGGGGCGGGAGGTTTGAGTGACTTTTATATATCGGTCAGTTTATGTCTTTCTTTTGGGATGAAATATATTATCAAGGGGCAAGCATGAGGACCATTGGGCACAGCAATCGGGTTGGCGCAACATGGGACGGGTGCTTGTTTTTTCGGTTTTTTTTCGGGGTTTTTTTTCATAGCCGCTATTTTGAGCGGGCTCTTCTTCTTGTCGTTTTCTCTTCTTTCACGCGTCGATACCACTGCGTGACTTTTCCTCTTTGGATCTCTCTTTTAGTTCGACAACGTGTATTCTCTTGTCCTGATCCGAACAATATTGTGGGTTTATGTGTTTCGTCGTTGTGAGAAACGTCAGTAAATGGCTATCATAGGTGCGATGGGAAAAGAGTCTCGCTGTGAAATGAGGAGCCAAGAAGCAACCAAACCGCGGATGCCATATCTCGATTACTTATATATTGGTTATAAGATATCGTCTTCTTTTGTTTGTCGTGTCCTAGATATGTTTTGCCTGTTGTTTGCATATGTGTGAGAGGTGGACGTGAACGTTGGGGTGAAAAACATCCAGAGTTGCGGCAGCAGCGGTTATTATTGGACAGGGCGACCGTCGGCTTCTTGCTGTGTTTGAATAATGTGTGACACAGGGTGTGCCTATCTTGAGAGCAGGACTAGTAGCGTACATGTATACACATATCTCTCCTTGACAAAAACAAAGTGTGTTAGTGGCATTATATACGCAGAACCGTCGTCGCAGAGGTATTGAGGCACCAGATGCCTAAAATATGAGATGGACAAACCCAAGGCCAGATGCAGGCGAGGTCCTCTCTTTCAAACAGAATAATAGAGCGTAGTATCCCGGTCGGGCTAGCCGGGTAAAGGAAGAGGCAAAACAAAATGCAGATGGGAGGCTGGTGAGACGATACACTAGTGAAAGCAGGCGGCAATATGTACTGTAGCCCGTTGGTGATAATGGTAAAGCAGAAAGGGAGTGAGCTTGTGGAGGGAAGTCCGGGAAGGTGAAAATAGAAAAGAAACGAGGTCCCACGACGTAGGTAAAGGGAGGGAGGAGGGGGCACGGGAGTCCATGAATTTTGGGGCGGCTGCGTGAATCGGGACGTGGAAAAGCGTGGGACAGCGGTCCCGTCGTTGCGTTGGCTCGTGTTAGTTCTGTTGATCCTCTTTTGACCTAGCTAGCCAAGTGACGTTTTCGACACCCTCTTTTTTCTTTGCTCTTTCTTTTTCCCTTATTTCTTTTCTTTTCAAAGGATGCCTATACGGCTCTACAATTGGGTAAGAGCGGGTAAAAAGGCAATGGTCAAGGCAGATCATTACTCCATATCGTTGATGTGAGATTGACACAAGCCGAAAAGACCCAAAGCTGATGAGAGAGGCCCTTAGGTACGTCTTACTTTGCATGCAGCTTATGACAGACAGCATGGAATATGGCACGCATCGAAGTTCTTTTTTTACGGCGTGTTTCAACAGCTTCTTGTTCACGGTGAGGACGGCCATCCATATTTGGCTCAAACGAGAAAGAGGCGAGCTGCAGGAGGCCGTTTTGGAACCGCAGCAGGCCGCCATACATTTGTTCCGCGCATATTGGGGCTCCGCAAGAGTGGTCGATCGGCATCTGCATCACGGGCCATGCAGGGCAGTCTGGCTCGAACCAGCCATGACCCGTTGGGCTGGGCAGCTGGTGAGTCTCCGCCCTAGCACCCACACGGTCGTCCACAGCAGCTGAGAAACGCCTCCGTGGCCCCAATGCCTGACTTGACCGGCTGAGCTCGAAAATGTTGTTGTGCCAGTCTCCTGTCTTTGGTTTGTTTCGCTTTCTTGTGAAGCCTCTGGAGACACCTGTCGGGTTGCCCTTGTGGCACAATCCAACAGAATTGGATGCCAAACAATGGGATTATGAGAATTCGATGTGTTTGTAAATTCGTACGACACGCGCCGAAAAGCATGGGGAACTTGCAAATTGCGTATTACCACTTAGTACATAGTACGTTGCACTGTGCTGGGGAATTACGATAAAGCACCTAGAAACGGGAGGTCACATGATCCCACCCCAATGCCAAAAGTTGTATCGCCAGCTGGTTGGCAGTTGTCCTAGCTCACCGAGATTTTCCTACTTCAGTCTCTCCTTTTCTTGTGCTGCGACATTTGACATTCGTCAATTTGCCTTTTACGGGCCCGCCCATAGCTATTCAGCGACGCATAAGGTTTCTTGGCAGACATTTTCGGCCTTGTTTAATACCAAGAGCGTTAGATTTCATTCGCCTCGGCCGCAGACCATGGCCTATCTCATGAATCACACCAGAGCGTTTGTACATGCACACAAGCCAATCCGCACACGTTATTAGTGCCAGTTCTAACAATCCAACCAGAGTTCGGCGAGAGGACCTTGCTAGGGAAGCAGATGAACATGCTGACGGCAATTCTGCACCCCGCCGTGTTGAGCATGATGGAGCAGGTGATGAAGAGGTTGCCGCCGCACGTGCTGCACTCGATGCCTACATGAAAAGCTCATTGAAGCTGGAGTTTGATGTGCGACCCCCACAGTCAACGCCGTCAATAACTGTAGTAAGCAGTGCAAACGACAAGGACGTTGAAGATGTTAACGACGATGAGTCCACGGATTCTTCAAATGACAGCGGTACACAGCGGGGATCAAGAAAGAGAAGCAAAACACAACGCCAGCGAAGCAAGAAAGACGAGGCCGCAACGATACGCGGCACAACAGAGTTTGCTTTCCGGATGTTCTCCGGGAGTGGAAAAGCCGCAGTGCCCGTCCAAAGTACAGACACGTCGACAGAAACTATATCTACAAATGCAGCTGTGGCGCCGACGCCGGTTGTTCTGCTTGATGACGGCGATGGGTCCGAACTTCTCGGCCCCGGTGGCCTTCTCAACCCGCCTCGGCCTCTCAGCTTCTACCTAGCCGGCGAGCCGTCGTCTGAGGCATTGGCGCGCTATTGTCAGATCACGGTCTCCGGCGAAGATATCGTCAAGGCCAGCCGCGAAGCTCGTGCGTGGGGCTGGGAGGTTCCATGGCGTGCACGCACCGTCGTGCAGGCGCCCAGTAAGACTGCTATGCGGGCCCTCCTGGCCAACGCTCTGGCCCCGGACGGGGTAGCCGCGTTACCCGAGAATCTTGCGCTGGCGCTTGCATCAGCCCCCAATACGGTTCCATCCTGGGCATCTTCTCAGTCACGCGAACCGATCGGAACGTTACCGCTCCTACCCCAAGCCTCCGACACTCCAGAAACAAAACCAAAACACCGCCGGCCCGGCAAACGGCACCGTATTATCCTACGGAAGCGTGAGCAGGACCGACGTGAGAAGGCCGCCAAGGCGGTCGCTCGGGCACTGTCCAAAGAGGACCACCTCTTGGAAAAGAAGAAGCGGCTCAATCGTATCAAGAAAATGAGGCGGCGAGAGAAGAAGAGGGCAGCCAAGGGTGACGAAGGCGCCGACAGCGGTGGTGACGACAACGGTGACGATTTTCGCGCTAATTGAGCGTAGTTTTGTCCTTTTGGTTTTTAGAGTATGATATTACTTTTACACATTGCAGCGAGCCTAGGCACAGTCACAATTTAGGAGACCAAAGTTGGCAGTCAAATCATTACAATCTTACGTTTTATGAGAAGAGCTTGCGTTGCCAATTTGTGTGTCGTCGTTGAGTCACAAGCCACACTTGCACGTTTGCACCGCCACATATCCGTCAAACTCGAAGCCTTCAGAACCCACGATTAGTGTGCATTGGGGCGTGCCATTTAACAAGCTTGCATTGGGGTGGGTCCAAAGTCTGAGCTCCTGCCGTTAATTACATGTGGCAGAAAGTACGACAGTTACTGCTCAACGCTCTATGTCGTACTTCCGTCACAATATCGACGCGCGCAAAATATCAGTCCATTTGGTCTCCTACACGCCAGTACTTCGCGCGTTCCGCTTCGCCCTCCACCACGAATAACGTCTTAGCTTTTCTCTTCACCCAATTTCAACCAAGCGCGCAGGCGGGCACCGTAGCCCTTGCATCGCAAGTGAACGAACCTCACCAACTCAGCCGTCGAGCTGTGAGAGGGGGAGAGAGAGCTACCATTTGTCGCCTTTCCTCGCAAAGTTTATTAATTGTCGTGCTATACTCTATAAACAGACCACATGATGAGCAACGATGCAATATCATTGGCGTCGCTGTCGTTGACGCACGTCTACTATGTATGCTATGCTTCCGACTTTTTCTCAATCCCCCTTCACGTTGTTCGACCGGTCATGTTTGCTAACTAGTATTTTTACCTCTCTACTCTTCCAGGACCCAAATGATTTTATTTCTTACGTATGCGCCTGGCTCGCTCTCGTGCCGCAGGCCATTATCATAGTCTACGTCACTCTCGTCTGGAGCACCCGCGAGGCCGAGGTTAGTCTGGCTTTGGCTGGCCAGCTCGTCTGCGAGGGCGTCAACTTTGTCTTGAAACGTATTATCAAGGAGGAGCGCCCGCAGCACCACTATCACGGGTCCATGCTGGCTTCGCTCCTAGGCAGTCTTGGCGATGACGGCGGCAAAGCAGGCAGCGGAGAGGCGGGCGCGATTGCTTCGGGCAATGGGCTTCGTGGCGGTTCTGGGGGATTTGGCGGCGGCCAATTGCTCCCCATCCGCGGTGGCTACGGTATGCCCAGCTCGCACGCCCAGTTTGCCGGCTTCTGGGCGCTCACCATTTCCCTGTTTCTACTCGTGCGGTACGAGTCGCAGTCTCAAAAGCAAAAAGCCACACCCCCACAGACACCTACAGTGTGGTACAAGCCCTCTTCACTGTCATACTTCGAGCGCGTCGCCGCCAGCGTCTCCGCATTCATCATGGCTTTTTTTATCGCGTGGAGCCGCGTTTATCTTCATTATCATACTCCCCGTCAGGTCCTTGTCGGTTTTGCTGCTGGCCTCGTCGTCGGTGCTGGGTGGTTTGCTGTCACGGCGGTTGCGCGTCAGACGGGCCTCCTGGCCTGGGGTTTAAGCCTGCCGCTGGCACAGTACCTGCGGTTCCGGGACTTAGCGTTGCGCGAAGATGTACTACAAGCTGGCTGGGAAAAGTGGCAGGTACAGCAGGCTGCCAATGAGGTGAAAAAGAAAACTTGACTATGAAAGTTAAGAAATCAAAGGCGGAGGTATATGGGCTAGAGATAGGAAACGGCACGGTGTAGGGCTTCCTTAGCACCTCTTTGAAGCTAACCGTTTTCACTGCGGCTATTTTGTGCTGTCAATCGAGGTGCAGGGTTCAATGTATCAATTTACAGAACACAGAGTATGCAAGACTTCGCGGGACGCAAATGGTCGTACGAACTAATCACGATTGACTTCAACTTGAGATATTGTGTTAGTAGAACGTGATTGAGCCAGTGAGTGATGTAATATTTGGTTAGATTGGCTAGCCACTGTATACAAGTGTCCAATTATATGAGAATAGAGAACTTTGCGCCTCTTGTGTAAATAAAGAGACTTGTAATAGAGAACGTGAATGGGGGAGAAGAAAAGGAAATAAATAAAGAAATGGGGAGAAGGTGAGAAAGTAAAAAAGAAACAAGAGACAAGAGCGAGAAAAAAAGCGCGTTGTGAATCTTTGACGCCACGACAATGCAAAAAATACATGACTCTCCACAGGGTGTACCTTGCTGAGAAAACATGGGTCATACAGAAGAGACAAAAAGGAGGATATCCAGTAACAGGAGAAAAAGGAGAAAGGTAAAGATACAAAGCGGTTGGTTTTACGGTGACGTCGGTGTCATCGTTGGTCTATAAAGAAGGTGGTATTCTTCCTGCTGCAAAACTAGCATGAAAGAAGCGCAAAATAAAGACAAAACAGGTGTTGGGTTAAAGTAGAAAACAAAGTTCGCCGGAGCTTCACTGGGTGTACAAAAATGTCCGAAAATGATGTCGTGATGCATTTGCGATTAAGTGAAAGGTCTGGAAAAGCTAGACTGAGTAGCATAAATGATTAAATCCAATCACTTGTTGTCTTGCCTGATACTCCTGTGTGGCTTGCGGACGAGGCTTCCCGGCGGAGGATGGACGCCGTGGAGCGCACTGCCGAGCTGTTACTCCGTGACACTGGCGCAAAACCAACACCGCGTGGGCTTGGTAGCTTTGTTGTCAACAGCTCTTTCGTCGGACTCCTCTGTTGGCTGTATACAGACGGACTTGATGTTGGACCGCTGGCAAAAATATCATCATCAGGGTTGTACCCATTTGGTTCCAATGTCTGGGACCGGAGGAGGGCATCCTCTCTGGTAGTAAGCGAAAAGTCCGAGGTGACGATGCTCTCCTGTGGGTGGGGTACAGGAGGCAGTGTCTTCATCCGAGCATCTTTTACAGGATCCCGCACTGGAGAGGCATCCTCAACACTGGCCAACTCGTCCCTGCTGTCCTTGGTTGCTAGGCGTCCAAGGTTGGACAGTGGGCTAGGACGGCGGGTTGGCGCCATTTGTGAAGACTGTAATAGCTCTTGTTGTTCTTGTTGTTGTTTCTGTGTAAGAACAACAGCCACCACCTTCTGCTCTTCAGCTTCAATTTTTGCGGGAACTGCTGCAGCGGCGGCTTCTGCATCACCTGCACCAGACATATAGAGGTTGTACACCTTTTTATCCAATATCTGTGAATCCATGGGTGCAAAATCTTCGACATTTGATAGACGCAGACCAATCTGCACAGTGGCAGACGATGCCATGGACGAGTCTCGCCGGTGGCGCCCTGCTGTCAAATTGTTCATAGATGGCGGAGGCTTCAATGAGCTCATGTCATAGCGGCCATTGTTGCTAGCTGAGACAAGTTTCGCTGTTCCAGGCATGTACGTTGTCGCAGGGAGAAGTACTAACGACTTTGTTGTCGCTGGAGAGAATGAAAGTTTTCGTGTAGAGGCTGTCGACATAGCCGATGACGACGTTAGTGATGCAGACGACATCTGTGCGGGTTCGGGGGCTTGAATAGAGACCGCAGTGGCTGAGCCTGACGTCATGTTCAAAGGATAGAACGCGTTGGATCTTAATGGATTCGGTCGGCTTGCGGTGATGGCGTAGGAAGGGGAAGGGCCACGATTGACCAGCATGCCGGCCTCATCTTCTTTCCCGTCATGCACGCTGCCGCTGATAAGGCTGGCATCACTCAACATACGGCGAAGGTCAGCACCGTTGCCAACGGGGCCCATCATATGGCCTTGGAAATCAGGCTCGCTTCCGCCGTAATGACGAATCCTGTCCTTCATACGATGACGCTCGTACTCCCCCGACTTTCCACGTGGCCCAATGGTCGAAACGGTGGTGGAACGCAAGAAGAGATGCAGGCCACCGGTCATCAGGCCTGAGACTCCGGCAACCACAGAGGCGACCATGGACAAACTAATAGCTTGCCCACCGCCATCGTCTTGTTGGTATTGGAAGCCAAGCGAGAAAAAGAATGGAATAATAAGGGTCTATGAGGCAATGTTAGATAAAAAACAAAAAATCGAACGCTATAGCCGAGTTCTGAGTCTAGTACTGACGTTAGAGAGGATACCAAGAGCGAGGTAGTACACCATGCGTGAAGCAGAAATTCGCTCCGAGATGTCGATTTTTATGCTTCGTGTCAGGCGCACAAAGATAATGGCGGTACATAGCACCAGAATGATGTCGATGGCAAGCAGTACAGCAAAGCAGCCGCGTGAGTAGATTGCCACAAACCAGAATAAAGAAGCAAAGCAAAAATCAGGTGACCGAATAAAATCGGCGACCAGAAAGTTGGTAAGCAGCAGTATTCCTAGCACGATGAGGCAGACGGTTGTAGTGTACCTTCCACGCGCGGGAAAGGGCTTCTTGCGGAGACCTCGAATAGCAAATTCGACGCCGAAGACGAGCTGAATATAAGGGACAATAAACACAGCTGTGCACATTAGTTTACTGATGTATTTAAAAGGTTGGTGCGTCCCTCGTTGCAGCTTACCAGGCAACATAAATTGCGAAACCAGAGTGCAGCCAATGCTCAGAAGGCTCTGGAGACCCTGTGCTTGGGCCACTGAAAATCCAATTCCTTGGACGGTGATGCCAATGGAGATAACAAGAGGGAAAACTTCTGCGGTTTGAATGAAAGACGTCTTGGGGCGGTCGACGGCTGCACCATAGCGCCTTTTGTTTCTTCTTCTACTTGAATATGCATCGTAAAGGATGCCGCAGGCAGTGGCAAAGGCTGCCACTGCATTGAAGGCAGCCAGTATTATTGTTGACGTTCGAATGGACTTCGCAGCTGCGAATCGCAGTTCGCTGATAAACTGTATTTGCTGGTGTGTTGCGTTGGCGCCAAATTGAAATCCTCCTGATGATTTGTTTGAGAAGCCGTCAGGAGCATCGCGAACTGCCAGCCAAGCCGCTTCTGGCAATATTCGTAAGCTGTCCATTCTTTTTGTTATGCGTGAGGTTGTGTGAACTGTATTTGTGTATTTGCGAAAAAGGTGAAAGGCGATACGACAATAAAAGGTCGTAAGGAGGGCGGCGGAGAATAAAGACGACAACTCGGGCTGACGCCGAGCGTCGAACGGCGGGAGGGAGAGCCACGGTATGGCAAAGAGTTGATGGCGAGTTGGGCCGTCTCTCTCCCTACGTTGTTGGCCAAGTCATTTAATCCGCGCGTGTTTGTCGTCGGTTCGGTGATGTGGTTGAGCAATGAAGATGGCAAAAATATGATGAGAGAGGAAGAAAATCTCGAAGCATAGGGATGCAAAAAGAACGTATGAGGAGAAAAGACAAGATGGAATTTGCGGGGAGGAGAGGCAAAGAAAGGAAAGAGTGCGTCGTGTCTGAGGATAAGTGGGGAGGGGCCGGGAGAGAGAACTCTGGCGAACAGACATGCAATTTCTGGTAGATGGTGCGGCAAACGGGTGTAGAGACCCCAAGAAGGCCAGAGTGAAAGTGCGTGGAGTAAGTTGGAGAGGAAGCCAGACGCATTCGACGTACAGATATGAAAGACAAAGAGACAGATAGATGATGCGTGTGTTGAGAAGAGAAGGAACGGAAAGATCGAAAGTGAGAAAGCCAGGAGCAGTACATCGAACACCGCCCACATTTTCTTGCGGGCGAGCCGGTTGAGTGGCCAAGGAAGGAACAGGGACAGGGGCTGTTAAAAGTGGTAGAGGTGAATAGCTAGCCGGGAGAGGGGGACGAGGGATGACGGAAGCAAAGAAGGAGGATGTTAAGGGTGCTGCAGCTGGGCCGAGATGCCAGAAACATCTCGGTATTTGTCTGATGCAACACGAGCAGGCTACCGTGGATGTCCTGCATGCTTTGTCCTGTCTTGTGCCGGAGATGCCTGGATAGCTCTAGACACCCCCCTTTGCAATTATTAGCAGGTTTGATGTCGGTGCCCTCCCCGTCTGCACTTCAAATTTACCCCGGGAGTTGCACACAACCGCGGAAAAGACGAAACAATATTGAGCTAATGCCAAGGGACGACTCGAGTTGCAACCACAAAACAATGAAAGAGGTCAGATAAAAAGGCCAGGGTAACAGGAGCAAGTACCTATAATCCTTGTTGAACCCAAATGCTCTGGCAACTATTAAGAGGGCAAGATAATAGATAGTCGAAGACGGAAAAGAAAATGGCAGAAACGGCCGAGATGTCTTCTAGAAGAGGACTGATCGGAGACCATGGGTGGCCGCATAATGGTTGGATGCATACAAAGCTGAACGTTCCTGGTTGGCTTCGAGTCAATGTGGAGAACATGTGAGAAGATGTCGAAAACTCAGACCAAAAAGTAGAATCCCGTCATGCATGTTCAATCTGTGTGCAGTTGGCATCATGACAAAGTCTTTTGTACAGGATTGCTACCGTTTTGGTACCCCGAGCCGCGGTTGCCATTCAGTTTAGTGTCCTTGGTCGAGCATAAACCACGTTCCGAACTGTAAGCACGAAAGTCAGGTCGTACTCGATACTTGTAGAGTCTCTTTTTGTTTGTCGTGCAGGTGAATATCGAGTCAGATCCCAAGATAAGACGAGATGCTTGCTAGGGTCACATAGCTTTCCAAATTGGAGAAAAACGGGCTGCAATCGTCATCCGAAGCTTTCTGCTAAGCTCCTTAACGGCGAACTGGACTCGATTGGCCCATGTAGTGTCCCCCGCTCTGCTACTTGACAAACAAGCAGAGCCGTAACTTTTTTTTGGAGGGGGCACCAGTGGTTCCGCAGTGGTGGTGTGCAAGGCAAGAGGATAAGAAGCGATGGGGAGCAGGTGGGCATGGAACGTATTCATCCGGTCAGACGATCATTGGCCAGGACAGAAAGGGCTGTCGTGAAAGCATTGAGACTACAATCGAGGTGAAGCAGTTTTGTAACGACTATGAGTTTCGTAACGTTTGAACAGCGCGACCCCTTGTACATTGGTTGGGAAGGAACAGGGTGCATCAACGTCGGGGTATGTTCGATTGCAAGGGTTGTTTTTGGAAGCTGGACAGGCTGGTCCCAGCCGTAAGGGAAGGCACAAATGTCAAACAAGCTACTGCGCTAGTATATTAACGGACTAGTGTGCTATGATTCCGTCGTCGATCAAACCATCCATGTCTCCACTCTATATCATTGACAGCTATTATTAACGAGGCAAGCCACACCTATCAGCCACATTGTACCACCCTGACCCCAACCAACCGCACACCAACAACATCTCCTTACGTCTACACTCCCTACTTTCTTCAAATGGTATTTCGGTCGACCGTGTGGCGTGGAACGTGGAGGTATGAGGATCAAGACGAACAAACAGGAGGCCTTTCCGATTTCTGCATCAAGCTGGCTGTGACCAAATAAGAGAGTGAAGACGCAGGATCTGTACTTCCTCTGTGTTTTCTTTTTTGGGGTGGGAGGGCGGGAAGCTCCTAAGTATCTTTTCCATTTTATTCACATTAACCTCTAGTGTTTGTGAATATTTTTCATTTCTAGGGCATTCTGCCACTGTTTCTTGTAGTATATGCACACATCACGTCGTGGACGAAATAACTTTCTAAGAATTAAGGAGCTTTGTATCAAATGGCCCACTGAGTTCTAAACACGGAATGTCGGATGCGGTGACACAAGTTTATTTAAGAACTATTGGGGCCAGATATTTTGAGATGGGATATAAGACAGTATCCTAACCTCATGATCTAGGTGTGGGTTTTCCTCATCCAAAAAGGGATCACTTAAGAATGGCAAAGCTAAATGACCAAAATAGAGCCAAATAAAACTCAATACAGATTCCCATCACTGTCGTTAGTCTCGATATTGCCATTAACGACAGTAGGGAGCATCGACATAAGATCAAAACTGGGGAGATCTCTCATTAGCCCGCCATTTATGAGAACTTATTCCGGGTCGTCGGAGCTCCTGAAGTTTCTTGAGTATCATCGACACTGTACACGAGAATAAGACATATTTTATTATTCGCCGCGTCTTATAAGCCTTTTACCCGTAGACAATTCTTATCATAGTCCAGTTAAATATAGAAGTAGCGTAGAAAGATACTTGAAGAAGAAAATGGCAGAGCAATGTGAGACAAGCAATCGACAAACCAAACGCAAGTCTGAGAACTGGGGGGAAGGCGATACTTGGGAACCACAAATTCCTTTTTGTCGCGAAGGTTCCTACGAAGCAAATCGATCTCCCCTCTTTTTTCCCGTGCTCTACTGGCTAGGGGCTTTTTAGTGATAATATGCTTGGCAAGTCTCGGTCTCGTTACTTCCATGTAGAAATGAAAAAACCCTTCCAGCTGTTGTCGGCGATCCCTTTTGCGACTAAACGTGATAATTAAATTCACGCGCCAGTCTGAGACCCTATGGCAAGATATAGTTCGGTCACATGGTTAAAGTCATACGGAGCTCTGAAGGTTTTCAAAGCATGTTCCTCCGTACTTTCTTCGCCTACGTTGCATCCCATCTGATTGTCTTGACAAGGACACCTACATGAGGGGTAACGGCGACCAGGAGAGCCCTGACACCGATTCCGGGGTCGTGATCAGCGTCTTATGCTCACATCACCATTTCATTTCCAGCTCCTAGGCAGTGGACACGAATGGTTCCTTAACACTCGGATGCGTATTAGTCCACAGTGGTCAGTCAGAAAGAAGCGCCATTGTGAACATATCTGGGCTCATTGAGTGGGGGTAGACATGTCTAGGCTTAGTGCTAGTCTGACAGCATTGCTGGGTGTGAAATGAGGTCCCCTGTTCGTTTTCGTTTTCGGGCCTCGAACCTGTTTCCTGAAGGCTTTCGAGATAATAAAATGAGCGTCTATCAAAGAGCAAATTAGGGTTTTGGTGACGGTTTCGTATCCCCCCCCGGTTGCAACGTAGGATACAGCGCTTCGCTTTATGGGTAAAAATGCCACATGTGGGTTGTCAACCTTGTAGAAGAGCAGCAAAGAAATTGTCACGAACGTGAAGTATATTTTCTATCCAATTTGTTCGGAAAACAAATGCATAGCCCAGGAATAAAGACCCCGACGGGTAAACGTTGGATCACACTTAGGAATGAAAACCAGAACGCTTTGGCCCATTACTTGGCTATGACGGATGTTCACCTTCTACAGACTACTGCTAGGCTGTTACTGGACGATCAGAATTAAAAATGTCGAAAAGAGAGCCTCCAATATTAATTGGATGTCGTTCTTTATTTCATGAACCAAAAAAAAAGAAAAGAAAAGCTGGTTTCCACCTCTTGTCTAAGATTATGTAGATTTTAACAGCTTGCGGCATCAATACGTAAGTAACCGTACGAAAGTGACCATATTACGGTTTTTTCCATCGTGTCATATGAGTGATATCCATGCAATTCATTTTACTGTTGTTGATTCACAATCCAAGCTAGGTTGGGTACAGAGCTGGTGTTGTAGATTCTGGGTCATACAATGCCCACCGCCTTGAGATTTCACAATTCAAAATAAAGGCAACTCGTTTCGAATTAGCAGTACCCCTCAGCCCCTCGAGGTCTCTCCCTTTAATAGGAATCGATAGAGTGGTAAGCACCAAACAGGAGTTGGCGACGTAGTATTTAACGGAGGTAGACCGAGCTTGTCTACAAGAGAGTAGCAGTGTAATGTCAGTGCCCTGGCGACAATTGACGATAAACGAGACTTGGTGGGCATCTGCTGTTACTCACCGCACTGGAACTGCAGGGTCGAGGTTCGGCGTAAAGGCGCACCAAAACTTCATACATTGTTATGTTAGGGACCAAAAGCACCGTGTCGTAAAATACAAGCTGAGAAACACCTAGTCCCGCCCGCCACTTTCATCCAAACAACTGCATGCCACCGCACAATAGAAAGACAGCAAAGGCACTAAATAGAATTAATAAAAGTCTTATCTGACAAGGAACGCAGACGAACACCGAGAGACAGAACGCTCATGAATCGGCCATATAGTGTGGCCCACCAGCATCAATTAGCCAACGCCTTCACTCCCCATCCGTATTAAAAGTCGTATTATTAGCGTATCTCTCTTTCCGATCCAACGCATCTTGTCGCTCTCCTCCGTCAAGTGCCTCTCCGACTGCCGGCACGGCCACTATGCCGACTTCCGTCGCCCCCTACTTATTACTTGCACACAGCACCAAGCTGGTGGAAACTTATTTCAACTTCCTTCCCTCGGCAACCGCGTCACGAACAGCAAAAGCGTCCTGAATCTCGCCGATGGCCACGTACAGAGCGTACAGCGGCAGCCAAACCCACAGAGTGTTGAAGAAGACAATGTACACCCACTTGTACATAAAGTTAGAGCAGTCCAGGTTGTCGTTAAGCACCAACCACTCAGGGCAGAAGGTCATAAAACCGCCGTACAGCTCGGCTGTCGCGACAATGATCATCAGCACGTTGACGCGGCTGCGGCGCATGGCCATCTCGTAGCAGATCCACACGGCCATGGGGCCGACGAAGAGTACGGTCAAAAGTTCTAGGCTAATCACGCCCAAATCGGGGCCCCCCCAGCGGCGGTCGGCCCGAGCATAAACCATCCACAGCTTGGCTAAGGGTTGATCATGGATGGCACCGGCTTGGGGGCCGTAGATGCGGTCGGGGCGGCCGAGGAACGCCGACGGCTCGGGCATGTAGAAGCGCTTGCTAGCAAGGTCCTCGGCCGAAACAGATGAGACAGGGATCCAGCTGAAGAAGCAGTGGTAGAGGAAGCTGGCCTCGAGGATCAGGTGGATGAGTGCGTCAAAAGCATGCCAGATAAAGAGCACTCGCGTGCTGCCCTTGGCATTGTGTGGCAGAAACCGGCGAGACGCGGCATAACCGGCGGCTAGGAACACAAGACAGGCGGCAAGCGACACAAGAGTCGTGGTGTCGAATAGATCGGGAGGCAGTGAGCCGGCAGACGCAGTCGTAGAAGCCATAATACGTGACAATAGGGGATGGTGGATGGACAGTTCCAAAGCGAGGCGATTGCGAACAACTAATGGGTCACGGCGATGTGCGAGAAGGTAGTTCTGTGACTATGTTGAGATACGCTTTGAATGGTGTCTTGAGACTACTTCTAGAACCCCCAAAATCCGTTAATGAAAAACTCGGGCGTGGTTGCGTTTAAATTTTCCGTCGCGTCGACTGCGGGCGATGATGTATGTACGAATGTAGCGTCCAATTTTAATTACATTTTTGCGTTGCTTTGCGTACAGAGTATCTGTAATTAAATTGTGGGGCTGAAGTCCGTGTGCTGCAAAAGTCTGTTCAGGAGTGCCAACTGATTCCCAACACCTTTAACAGGTTGAACAGGTGCGGGGAACACAACAGGGGCACACACAGCCACCAGCCACCCCTTTGGCTGTGGCACGGAGTTTTGGGAGACTGCTGGCCTCCGCATCACGACCTCCAACGTCCCGGCTTTTTGCTCTCACCTTGTCCGTACATGAGTGTTAGAATCACGTTGCGGCCATGCAGTTGAGCGAGGCCCGTTTTATGTGAGATGTCATTGCTGACATGCACCCAAAAAAAACCGCCTCTCTCATACAGCTCGCCACTGAAACTGAGACGAACTTTCAGCGACAAGGGACACTTGATATAATTATTTCATATCCATTGCAGTTGACAAGCATCCGCGACCAATGTAGTTTAAAGAGCACAACTTGAAAGTAGCACATGTAGATGTTGCAAAAGTAGTATTAACTATTTTTGCAACTACTTACACTTACACCCAACCATTTACGACCTTGCACGACAAAATTGCCATTTCCTTGCTTTTGTAATGATTTATTCGACTAAACTATCTGGTATCTTGAATCGCCATGAAAATAGATCTGTCAGCCCGGGCGACGATTACCAACGCACAACGATGGTAAATCGGCAGCAACATTGTCGTGTAACAACTGAATTTTCAACGGCAGTTGGTTATGCCAACCCCGGTCAGTTGACACCCGGACGGTCAACGGGACATTGCGAAACGAGCAAAAACGGCGCTTAGTGGGTAGCCTGCTGCTTGTTGGCTTCGGCCGAGGCCTCGTAGCCCTTCTGATCGACCTTGTCCTTGACAGCGTTGCCGGCGCCCTGGAGGCTATGTGTGTGTTAGTTAAATTGTAGGAGTCTAATGAAAAGGAGAAGTTGCAACATACCGGTCGCCAACGTTCTGGTTGCCGTCCTTGGCAATGTTCTTGTTGGCCTCGTGGGAAGCGTCCGAAGTGGCAGCGTTGATCTTGTCAGAGACAAAGTTGCCGGCCTGCTTGATGGTATCCATTTTGATAGCTAAGTTGTTGCGTTGAGAAAAATAAAAATAAACAAAATTGGTTTGAATTTTGGATTTGGTGAGTGTTGTACGTTTTCGTTTGGTGATGTGAGAGAAAGAAAGAAAAGGATGTCTGTTTAGAGAGGGACAACAGATCCTTTTTATACAGCATTTGTCGTAAAGCACGAACTTATCAGCCCGAGTGAATGAAGTAACTAACATCTACGACGTATGTGGGTCATTACGTCATAGATAGCTTTCCAGATGAAGCAAGCGGCAGAAGATCAACAATGAGCAAAGAGCTAATATGGGGCCAAGGGAGAGAAGTCTCCGGGCAATATGAGTATCCGGTCTCCTGGTTTAGATGTCAAGCTGCCTAGTAAACAAGGCGCCGGCACAGAGTAGTGGTCAGACGCAAGTCGAGGGGTAATGATGACATTGGCAATGACGTAAAGAGCTTCGTAAGGCTCGAACGAAGTACACAAAGCCGCTATCTTGGAAACTTTTAACGGTGACCACAAGGTTAGTACGTGGTACCCCACCCAAAGGTACCCCACCGAACCTAACGTCTTACAAAAGTGAACGAAACAAAGTGACAGACAGAGACATGCAGCAGACGAGAGGGGACTGAGGACAGGACAGTCTGTACCCTCTTTGGCGAAATCAAAACACGCCAGACAATAAGTACCTGGCCAACTGGCCTGTACAACGTGACAAGAATAGACAAGGAGCGGTTTAACCTAGCGCGTTGCGGTGCTTGATTGGCTCGCATGGGGCCTTTGGTTAAACCCTCCCGCCCTTTGTCTTAAAAGGGCCATGACGACAATGACTTAACTTGAAGTAGCTCGTTTACCCCTCTCCTTTCTCTACCACAAAAGTCTTTTTGGTTATTTATTTCTGTTGGTAGTTATTGCGTAATAGGTCTGGAACAATAGTAAGAGGGCCACTCACGAGGCCATGCAGGCCATCGGCAGTGGGGACATATGTCGAGCCGTGGCAATGATGCACGAACGATCAAGAATGCGACTATGACGTCATAATTACTCTTTTGCTTTGACTTCCGCTCGCCTTAAGCTCCCCACCTAATCTCCACTGGGACACATTCACAGCACGTGCAAGTACTTTTTACCATACAAGTCTGAAGTGACATTATCCTGTTTTACGGGCAGATCTTACCCTCGACTAGGCCCGAAAACTAGACCAACGAGGTATCCAAGAACGTTTCACATATTTTAATAGTGTAATATAACCCTCGCTCTCGCTACGGTACAATACATGTTCTGTACCATATGGTCTAGATCTTTCAATCAATGAGTGTCTGCTCATAAAAGAGTGACAATAAGAGCTCCTTTTCCCCAAATGTACATTTCGGGTTTTTCGGCGGTATAAATAAACATAATACTGAATAAGAAAAGGCTACACATTCACCGTGCCTCGCTACCTATCCTGCTACCGTGCTACTTGACAGCGTGTGACAATTCATTTACCCAGGGGCGCTACTTGTCTAAGATGTGCCGTTTCTACTTTGGTAATCTTACCACGTGATACATCACGTGTAAGGGTAGTGCGCGTCAAAGTCCAACCCACTGCGCAACTGTGGCACTTTCCCGATCCGTCAAAGCATCGTGAAGCTCGGCATCGCACTTTCCCGTCAATCGTTCCTGCCACTTTCTTCTCAGATACCCTCTTCATCCCTTCATTATCTTTTGCCCACACGGCCATTTTTAACCTGTATTGGCAAGTACATCTGCCACCGACAAAGAGGGCACAGCATGCTCGAATCCTTAGAACAGACCGGTATGGTGTAACGGTTAACATTCGAGATTCTCATTCTCGGGCTCTGGGTTCGATTCCCAGTACCGGTGACAATTGGTTTTAATATTTTTGCCCTTCTGGACCTTTGTTTTTTATTGCCTTTCGCACAAAATGTACTTCAAATGGCCAGCGGATGAACCAAATGAATTGGCCCCAAAACGCAAAGTGACGAACGGTGTCTTTGGGCGCTTTTTCAATGTGCTCCATTGACGTCTCTTGTCACGAATCTTGGCGGTGCCTCTGGAAAGGTGTCCCCAGAAATCTTTCGTTCTCATGCTCCCTCTACTGTCCGGATGCACGTGAGCATTGTCCTAAAATAAAGGCGCTCCTGCCTTTTCTGATGTTCTATAAACAACAACAAAAAGTAGCAGTTTTCTTTGTTTTGTTCCGCCAAGTCATTCCTTTTGTCTCACCTGCTTTTTTTGTGCCCTCTCAGTTCCTTCTTGTTCAACAAACAAGGCACCCTGGCTCCATTTCCCATCCACGCATCTTAGTATTATGCGCACGCTTCTTTTGCCGTACGTCAAATCAATTATTGTTCAGTTTTCTCAATTAATTTGCCTCACTCCCGTTCTCCCCCCGCCAAAACTTTCGCAATCCGGAAAAGACCGAAGCCACCTTCGTCCCCAAGTTTCAGGTCCAGGCCATCAACCCCTTTCGGAGCCATGCCTCGATACATCGATGACCTCAGCGAGGTCGACCCGCGGGACTTGCGCTTTGAACCATTCAACATTCTCTAGGGCGGACCGTTGATTGTGGACAAGAAACGAAAGCAAAGGAAAAGAGAGGAGCGAAGGCGCAAAGAAAGAGAGAATCAATTGCAAGAGCAGGCACAGCAGGTCCTACAAATGGTGCAAGCACGGCAAACACAACAGATTTCAGAAAGCCAGCACGTTTTGGAGGTTCAGAAGGCTCCAATACCTGGAGAAATTGCAGAACCTCCAGAGGCCCCAGAAGCTCAACTGGCTCAAAGTCTTCCAGAGGTCCGGCTTTCATCGCAGGAGGTGGAACAAGTGCTGCAGCGACCTGAAACGACCACTGTTATCACAGTCAAGAAGCCCACGGAGGGAGTGGGCTGCTCGGACATCAAGCTGAACTTCGACGACCCTACGGAACCTCTGGCCGTTGTGAACATAAAGGGAACTAAAGAAGTTGAAATGGTCCCGGTAGTGGAAGCGGAGAAGAAAAAGGACGACCACCATAAAATCAAGCGAAAATCTCGACTCAGGCGAGGAGATAGAAGTTGGGGCAGAAGACGGTCTAGAGAAAAATCGATGGCCTACAGTGATGAAGACAGTGGTAGCAGCAGTGACAGCGGCGTCGTCAGTGAGGTCGGCCGTCTTGCCGAAAAGCTGTACCATAGCAAGCTCTGCCACCACTCTAGCACACACGCCGTTGCAGACGACAGCAATGAACACTGCTGCAACGAAGCAACTGACTCCGAAGACCCACGCCGTGGCTATTCCTCTCGGTCCAAACGAAAGCGCAGGGGTCGAACTATGAGGCGTGAAAGTCATAGTTCCACTTTGCGCTGCTCATCGTGCGGACACCAAGCGCAGGTCAGCTCCGACCTACACGATGACGGCCTTGGAAATTGTGAAGCGCGTGTGAGCTCTGTCCATAAACATGATAAACACCTTATACACAAAAGCGACGCTGGCCCTGGGAGTGGTAGCCCCGAACAAGGCATTCCTCCCGCACTTCTCGCACTCCCTCCCGGCGAAGAACCCCCAAGTGTCGAAAGTCCTCAAAAGAATGGCAACATCAACTTCGGCACACGGGATTCCGGTCAAGGTCACTTCCCCTGTCAAAATGGACCAAGTGGCTATGCAGACGGACCTGCTGTCTACGCTTCCTTCCCGAGCCCTGGTCGAAGAGCCCGGTTCGGTGAGCCAATCTATATTGACACTGATGGTAGGCCGTTCACCTACACGCGACAGTGTATGCCTCTTCAAACTCCATACCATGGCGGTTTTTCGCCTCACCACGAATTTTCTCCCGTTCAGCAATCATACATCGCGCGGTATCCAGACGGTGTTCCGATGCCACTTTCCCAAGATATGCCGCCACATCCTTACCTGATGCCTCAGCAGAACTTCTTGCCGTATAGTCAGTCGGCTTACCCGATCCCACCACTGCATTGGCAAATTCCTCATACATACTATGACTCCCACCGAGCACCCAGCGGCTACTTCACAGGAAGTTATCATCAGCGGTACGGGGCACGGACCAGCCCCGGACGCCCAAGTGGCAAGTCTCGGTCTCACAATCAAGACATGATGCAAGACAGCAGACAAAATGGCAAGGAAAGGTGCGGTTCTAGTCAGTGGAATGCTAACGGGAACCAAAGTAGCGGATGGGGTAACGGCGACGAAGCAAATGCAACTACTGGTGGTGGTAACGAAAGGAATATTGGGAATGCCACTACTGATGACGTTAAGGGGACTGGATGCGACAATAACACTGGTGGCAGTAGTGCTAATGATTCCTGGGGAGACGGTTTCGGGAAAGGGACGGGAAACTACAATTGGGGTTGGGCCATTAATGATAACGAAGATGACGGTGGAAACAGTACCAGCAAAGGTGTAGACAACCAAGACACCTTGCAGTCCAATACTGGCAGTATCGACAACGATAACAACCATTGGACCAACTGGGGCACTGGAAATACCAGCACGGGAGATTCATGGACTGGCGGCGGTGACAGCACCGGAAATGGTTGGGGCAATGACGAGGCCAAAACGTCCCATAGGGGTGGAAACAGGAAAAGAGGCGCGCAGCGATCTAATAAGATCCATACCAGCAACAAGCATGGCAAGAAAAAGGTTTCTTGGGGGGAAGGCAGCGAAACCATTGTCAACACAGACCACAATGGTGACTATACCAACGCTACTGACAACACAAACGCCTACTGTTGGGGTGACAGTGGGGGCAGTGATTGGTGTGAAGAATCCCATGGCGGCCACAAAACCAATGAGACAAATAACAATGTCAGTTGGGGCGGCGATGTGAACGACAACTCGAGTAATAGCTGGGGCAATACCGGTGCCACGAATGACACCTGGGACCAGTTTTCTAATAACAATGTCAGTGGTGGTTACAAGGACCCCTGGATAGGCCTCGACAGCGACACGAATGATGCTGGCGGCAACGACAACCAGAGAAACGACAATGATGTTAACGATTCGAATTGGGCCTGGGATTGCAATAAACCAGACACCAACAGCAGCCGCAACAAGGATGATTTCGAACACGCCATCAATGACTTACAGAAACCTGGCAGCGGTGATGGGAGAAAGTGGCGAGACAGTGGTGCTGGACATAATACTGATAGCGCCCGCTTTCGAAACTGGACAGCAAAAGACCAGGCCCTTGCCTGCAGCCTGAACGCGCAACTCAAGCCCAACCCCTCCACCGACCAATGGTCCGCGCTGCAGCAAGTGTTTTTTGAAGAAACAAGCAAATTTGTCACACGGGAGGAGCTTGCTTACCATATCGCAGGAATAAAAATTGGAAATAAGGGGGGCCGAGTAGGAGGGAGCGGGTGGGATAGAGAATCTGAAGGGAACGAAGACAACATTGGGGTAGGGGATAATATCAAGTGGTAGATGGATGGTTAAGTTACCGTTGGTGTCCTGTAATAAGGGTATGTGAGACGGCGAGTTGAGACACATATTTGCGCAATAAGTTTAGAATCTTTACGTATTGGTCTTGATTATTCTGTAATTCGATTTACATCCCTAAGCAAGTGTGATTCGGCCTTTGAAAGTAAGAGGTCTCATTAATAAAATCGAAGTACATCGTGAGGCTGAAGGGTAACCTTGAATGCATGTAACATATGAACAAAAAGGTCTTATCAACTTGGTTACATGCATCAGGGTTGATAGTCATATACCGGGGCGCTATAAGACGATTTTGTAATACTGACGGCGCGTCGCGGCAGGTTCAGTATGGGCTAACCCCAAAACAAAAAAAATCAACCACCTATGCCTGCTAACCTGTCGCTATGTGCCTTTTCGACAAAAAGCTTCACCTTGGTCGCACAGACGCGACAACCTCTCTCTGGCTCGCTGCCTCAACACTAACGCCGCAATAGAGAGCTTTTGGGTATCAACCAACTCTCCACCCTTTATCCCTACTATTCTACCTCTGCGTTGCCCCAGATGCATCAATTGGCACGAGGTACAAGGCTAGGTCTTGCGCAACAACCGCACGTTTGCACGACCTGCTTTGTGGCCTTTGGTAGACTTGTGCCGACTGCAAGAGGTGCATTGCGTAATAAGCCGCAGCAACCGTCCCATCGATACATACAGCATGCCGCACACCCGACCGCGGCTGGCACTACAGCCGGAACAAACCCAGAAACACCTTCGGCTGATCCCGGCACCAATACAAAAGTCGCACCGCCACCGGCGCGGAAATCTGCAAAACCAGCCACTCACGGGCCCAATGGGGCGAGCACTGGCAGCACTTCAGGTGGCCGTAAGGTTATGAAGCAAGCGAAGGCTGCTGCCAAGGCTGCGCACCAGGCAAAAGCAGGACTCAACGGCGCCGCTTCCCATCAGGGAAGCCAGACGCAGCTCAAGCTATGGCGTGAAACGCTCAATGTGCTCAAGAAGCTAGAATCGGCCCAGGACCGGCTGGCGGAGCAGGCAGCTATCGCAACAGGTGTGGCGACAAAAGAGCTCCTGGCAAATACGGCATCATCGGCAAAGGGCGACGCTAGCTCCGCTTTGGCGACTACCGGCAAGGTTTCCAAGACGAAAAAGACGACCTCGGCACACACTCCGGAAGAAAGGGAGGCAGCATTCAAAGCTGCAAAAGACACACAAGACCAAATCAGAATGCTGACGAGCGCGCTGCATCTGCTTAAGACGGTGCTTAGTACCCAAGGGCCACAGCAGCAGGAAGAGAAAGAGCAAGAACAGTCTCAGCAACCCACGGCTGCAACCAAAGGTGACCAATCTGAGGGAAAGCTCGGCAAACACGCGAGGAAGAAGGCTCAGAAAATGAAATTTGGGCAGGACAATTCGCCGTTAGGAGCACAGCATCTAACGGCTGCCGGAACGGCTGTCATTGAACCCGAAATTTCTCCCGGGGCAGCCTCCACCACCTCATCCACCGCATCGCAACATATTTTATCCAAAAAGGCGTCTTCTCCAAAAAAGAAGGCCGTCGCTGCATCTTCAAGATCGTTCCTCGAACCTCCGCCTGTACACAGGCTACCTTACCGCGTCAGCAGTGTTGACTCACGGGACCTTGCACTGACTCCCGTCGAAGAAAACAAACGGCCGGTACCAAAACTGCACTACGGCCTCGACCGAGCTCTTTTCAACCCAGGCGTGTACCATCTGCAAGACCCGCGGTCGCGTGTCTTCAATTTCGACCCGTACCTAGCGAGCATCATGCCCTTGCAAGAGTTTGACTTCAACGCGCTAAAACAGTATGTCACGTCTTCCAAAGACCCAACCTTGATCTCAATGGCAGCGAAGTACAATATGAAGTACTCGGGATCGACGTCAAGCATGACAAGCATGCTATCGCACTTCCATTTCCTTCTGAGCGGCTGGCGGCCAATCAACACCGCACACACCACACGCTCATTTACGCCTGAATCTATGAGCTTCACGCGTATCACACGCGGGCCTGCTGCGACGTTTTTGCACTGGAAGGACGGCACATACGCCATCGACGCGGATAAGGAATTCGACACGGCCAACATCTTGAGCATGTTGGGCAAATCGATGGAAAAGCTGCTGACGTTATCCAAGGAGGACTTTGAAAAGTATCGGGTTACCCGGTCGCACGAGCTGACAGAGGAAGAGCGGAACGACCCGGAATCTTTCCATTACTCGACGTTTGGTGACTTTATGATGCGGTCACAGCTTGACGCTTACGACCCGCGACTACCCGGGACCGGCATGTTCGACCTCAAAACGCGTGCCGTAGTGTCCATCCGCATGGATGCACAAGACTTCCAACGCGGGCTAGGCTATGAGATCCGGCAACGGTTTGGTCAATGGGAGTCGTTCGAGCGCGAGTATTTCGATATGATCCGGTCGGCTTTCCTGAAGTACTCGCTGCAAGTGCGGATGGGTCGTATGGACGGCATTTACGTTGCTTTCCACAACACACAGCGCATCTTCGGGTTCCAGTATATCAGCATCAATGAAATGGATGTAGCTCTGCACGGCACCGACGACACGACACTAGGAGACCGCGAGTTCAAGTTAAGTTTGCACCTGCTGAATGCGGTGTTGGACAAGGCCACAGATCGATTCCCGGGTCGGTCGTTGCGGTTGCATATTGAGACACGCCCGTCGGAGGCCGCGCCATTCATGTACATATTTGCGACGCCTGTCACATCCAAAGAGATTGGGGAGGTACAGGATGCCGGCAAGGAGTCGGTCGAAGAGTTCGAGCGCAGAATCTTGGGTATTACAGCGCAGGAGAGCGGCGAAAATGACGAAGGTGGCAGCCTTACAGAGTCGGCCACCGACGATGGCGAGATGGAGACCGAGACCGCGGCCAAAGAACACGAGGTAGACGAGGAGCCCGACCACGATGAAGACGACTACAGTGTTGACGTGTGGGAAACGATGCGCCAGAAGGTTGAGGAGACGATGGAGAATGAGGCACAAGGCATCGAGTCTGTGCGCGACACCCTCGAAGATGCTCTCGAGCAGAGCGGCCTGCTGCGGGGCCGGCCGCCTGAGGAGACGCGCACATATGTGGATGCGCTGCTCGAGGCGATCACGCGGACAGATACAGAGGCGGTGGCAGAGACGATTCTCAAGGGCCAAGAGCCCGAGACTGGTCTCAAATCAACTCTGGAGGTGGAAACACCAGAAGAGGAGCAAATTGATGCCGAAACCGAGGCCGAGGTCGAAGGCGCACCCGACCATGAGACAGTTCCGAAGACGAACAGTTCAAGTGCGGAAGCGGAGATAACCGAGCCCGAAACCGAAATAGGCAGTGAGTCTGATTTTACGGAGGGTGGTAACACTACTTCCGCGACCACCGACAAGGCTTCGACATTATCATACGACCGGGGCAAGTCTGTTATCGACGAGGACGGTGGCCGCAAAAGCGAGAGCAACGAGACTTCTGGCAGCAGCGTAGGAGAAGGCCCTCCTGCCTCGCCAGTCTCGGGCACACTGTCTCTCAAGGACCTTATTATCAAGCTTGCCGCAAAGGTTGAGACATCACAGGCCCGTGACGCTGTAGGCAGCATCGACTACAACAGTAATCGTATGAATGGCGAAACCCAGCAGGTTACCAAGGACGGCGACGACGACAGCATTGCAACGACAGAGTCGCCCCTATCCTTCCGGTACAGCAACAGCGTTGCCGAGCTCGTCGACGCGCCCAAGAACAAGCGATTCGAGCGCATTCTATCGGAGATGTTGGCGAGCTCCAAGGAGAGCAAGGAGGGCAGAGAGTGCAAGGAGGGCAAAGATGGTAAGGAAGGCAATGAAGGCAATGAAGGCAAGGAGGGCAAGGAGGACAGGGAAGGGAAAAATGAAAACGAAGGCAAGGAGAGAAACGGAGGCAAGGTTTCTTCGAAGGGAAACGCGCCTGCACCGGAGCCACCGGAGATCATTGGCATGATTATGACGATCCGCAACAAGGTCAACGGGCGTTACGTGGTGCGGCCGGAGAAGCTCACTAACGCCGATTCGTGGAAGGTGGAATACGCCATTGAGGAGATTCAGACGAAGCGCGCCCGTACTCTGTATAACATGCTTAAGGCACGCCGCAAGGCGTTGCTGAGCAAGGACAGGAACGGAAAGGACAGCAAGGATGGTGAGGACAAGACGGATGGCGAGGACCCGAAGGCAGACCGCATCGGCGACATGAAGAAGACAAGTACTAAGTCGGCATTCAACCGTGACTTCATGAGCAAGCTATATGCTTTGAGTGCCAAGGGCCGCCGGTTCCGGAGCAACGAAAATCGCATCATGCGCAAGCGGCCGGTACATATCTATGGTGTTGATGGTAGCAGGAAGTGGGGTGAGGTGTTTGCCAATGAGATGGACGACGTTGGCACACTGCAACGAGATCCGGTGGAGGGAGGCAAAAAACAGGAAACCGCATAACTATCCTGTATGTATTAGGCGAGGCTCATCTCCAGACACATTTTACATTGTCCACTCTTTATGATTGACGAGAAGCTACCATATGACAACACATTGTGTTTTTATGGTAAGAACGGCGGAAGGTTCAAGTCAACGTAGACTACCTTTTGTTCACCGCGATCATAAATTAGATAAATAACATAAATTCTCAAATAAAGTGACCGATCTCTTGTCGCCAGCTATCAGATGGCAGCCGTTTGCAGAGGACACATGGTCCGGGTGCAATGGGGATTTGAGAATGAGAATACGACATCGCGGAAGACGAAACCTCCAAGGCTATTGATTGACGCAGTATCTGCGTTATAGGTTCCTTTGAGCCGGGGCGCTTTGTGGCTGGCCTCTCTATGTACGCAGCGCTGCCAGGCGGTGGAGGGCAAAACTGGCGCCGCTGTTGTTTTCAGTGCGAATTTCAAGTAGAACAAAAAACCCAATAAACGGAAGGGGCAATCTAAAGGCATAGTCTTTCAGTACAGGCCACCATGATATATGATCGACAAGCAAATAAAATATAGCTCTTCCCCATTTTCGGATTGGTGTAAACCGTCCCCAATAGACCGGTGATGAACTTGACAGCCAGCCGTCCCTTTTGTTCCCCTCGCATTAACTTCTCGAGAAACGCCATCGCTGTGCAAAAAAATAAGACAAGAAAAACAAGAGCCGGAAACGTATTAGAAGACAGAGGGAAACAGATGAGATAGAGAAGTGCGCAGAATTCTACTTATAGCCAAAAATAGTAAACAAAATGAAAGCTCGTCTAAGCTCGGCGAGGACCAAAAAGAGCAAGACAAGCCGGGTCGACAAGATTCCCCACAGCAAGTGATTAAAAGAGGTTGGCCAGGCGCGGTGCAGCACTCGAAAACAAGTCGCGCTTCGTGGATGTGTTGGTCAACTGCAGGTTGCCAATTTCACACCAGTTGTTCACGGGCTATATATGTCAGCGTGAGGTTTGCGTAAGAGGACCTACCCCGATGAGAACGGCAGACAGCGAAATAAACTCACCAGGCAACTAAGATACTTGCACCAGCCACAGGTGTGGTGGTAGATGTAGAAATTGTTGAGCAGCAAGATAAAGACAACAATTACCAGAACAATGGCCCCGGCGCGTAGAAACCACCATGCCCACCACAGCGGCTTGCGACCCTTAAAGAAGCCAACGGGATTGCGCACGAAATTCGAAGTCTTGAAGCTGTCCGAGTATGTACCGCTGACGGACGCATAGGACGTGTCGTCTCCAATGCGCCGCCGCAGCGCGTTGGGCGAATGCAGCACTGAGATGCCAAGTGCCAGGCCCATCAAAAACCCGCCAATGTGAGAGAAGTTGTCAAGCCCCGGGAGCAGACCAAGCACAAAGGAGATGACAATGTCTAGAATGATGAAAAGCAAATCCCTAAGTGGATTGCGGCGGTCACGCCACGAGTAGAGAAGGTCGAGAAGTGTCAGCGCAATAATGCCAAACAGCGAGCCCGATGCGCCTGTAGACGAGATACCAGTAGCCGCATAGTTGCCGCCCATAACAAAACCGAAGATACCCGAAGAGACGTAGACCAAAAAGAATCGAATTGAACCAATGGAGCGTTCCATATCGCGACCCATGGTTAGTTGCAATAGCAGATTAAAGCCGATGTGGATAACGCCGGCATGCAAGAACATTGGTACGATGAACCGGAACCACTGGTTGGGCTGGGGGTTCTGCTGGGCGTTACCATCATACAAGGGATTGGGAACGCCGTTGAAGCCGCAGAGCTGCGAAAGCGTGCATTGGTTAGAGGGGTTTGAGGAGTCGCTTGTCGTGCTATTTGGGCACGGCCAATCGATGGCCACGGTCGACGACTGGACGCCATTGACATTGTGCATACAGGGGACGAAGCGAGAGCCCATGTTGATGAGCACGTAGGTTGAGGGCCCGATCATGGGGTTGAAGCTGGGGTGGATCATAATAGGCGAGCCGGTCAGGATGCCGTTCTTGACAATTTCGGCAATGAACACCGCGATTTGCACAACTGTGAAGATGTAGACAACAATCGGGATACGCTTGCGATTGTTGGCGCCCAGCATGCCCAGCTCACCGAAGCGCACACCCTTCCGGCCAGCGCCACCGGCGCCGGGTGGCGGTTCGCTAGCCATGCCGCCCTGAGGAGCATCGTAGACATGATCTGGTGACTCAGCTCCGCCAAACTTATTGTTGCCTGAGCGGTCACGCAGGGGAATGTCATCCGGCCCCACAGATGTAGCGAACATATTGTCCTCCGAGGGTGTGTGGTGTGGCGCACCATAGTAGGTCGTATCAGCGCCGTTAGGGGCGTTGCTATTTTGGCGCGATGTTGCAGGGTACATGTGGTCGTCGAAAACGGTCTCGAAAGGAGAGGGACTGACACCGCGGGGGCCATTTCTACTCGTGCCATAGGTATTCCGGGCCTGTGCTTCTGGGTCGGCAAGGCGCTGCTGTGAGCTGTAGGCAGGTGGTGTCGAGTTCATGTAGGTTGACGACGCGGCAGCCGAAGGGTTGTCGTATGCTGTGTTATGGCTGCTGTTGTAATAGGGCGAGGGGGAGTGCCGTTGACGGGCGCTCGCGTCGGCGTAGTCGTAGCTCGGATTGTAGGCCTGCGCCGGATAACCGCCAGACGCGTAGTCGTTGGAGTACTGGCGAGACATGGTCAAGAAGAAGGAGCGACGGTGTCGCCAAAGAGAGAGAGAAAGAGAGAGAAAGAGAGAGAGAAAGAGAGAGAGAAAGAAAAGAAAGGAGACGAATCGAGAACGAGAAAACACTCAAAAGCAGACGTGACGGGGCGAGAGAATAAAGCGTTTCCCAAACGACAGGTGCGGAAGGCGGCCGTGCTCCTTGATTGGGAATGTTGGCGTTATTATGCCTTGGGGGACGAAGCAGATGCTATTAAGATGGTCCCGTGTTGCTGTGGCTCTGTATTTCTATAGCCCCCTTTCCGGCAAAGGTGTCGTATGGACAGCGAACAAAGGTTCCGGCGGTTATGGAAGGGAGTACGGAGGAGAGGATGGGCCACTTCGTCGGGTCGCTGCAGCTGTGTAGGCTTTGTCTGCCCCTTTATTTCTTTGCGGTTGGAAGGCGATTGGGAGGCACGAGAGAAAGCGTTCGTCAAGGGAGTGTGTTCTCCCCTGGTCGCCTTGTTTGGGCTGTCGCGTGTTTGTTTCCGGGTAATTTCGCTTTGAAGAAGAGGCAACGAAGGAACTGAACGACGGGGAGAAAACGTCGTCCGCAGCGTTGCAGTATTGCGACCAGTTTTCGCAATGTACGTCGTATGTGTATTCGGCGATAATGTTCGAAGTTAAAAAGCAGAGTCTCAATTTCGCGCGATGGTCCTTTCAACGCTTTTTTACCGTAGTGGAATATCCGTTTCAGGGGTTAGGTTGGATTCCGAAAGAGGAAAGAGCCGGACGGGGGGGATGAAGCCGTCAGGGAATCTAGTTGCGGATTTGTGAGAGAAAGAAAAACGGAGAATAAAGACAGAAGAGGAAGGGAGAGATAGAGCTGGTGGTGTCGAAAGGAAAGAAACAGCTGCTGCGTGAATGGGGATGGAAAAAGAAGCAGGGAAAACCAAGTAGCAGCGGCAGGATGCCCTCGGGGCTAGGAAGTATGAACAGGCTGCTCTCAGCTTCCCACGCACGAAACAGCGACACCCATAAATACCATACAGCATACAAACATCACACTTTTTACATAGGGGGGAAAGATGAGACCGCTCAGAATTTCCCTGCCGCTATGAGCATAAAGGTCCGCTTGGGCTCGCAGGCTGTGTTTCTCTTCGCCCGATGTTCTCTTTTGCGGCAGTGCAATGGTCAACTAGTTAGATGCGGCCCCAGGTACTCTCTCGGGAACGCGTTTCGTATTTGCAGTTGGTGCTTTGCCGCCTCCGCAAACTTTGTTAGTGCACCGACTCGGATACGGCGTATAAACGTATTACTCCACATGTAGTACGAGACCTTGATTCCTGCTGACCTTCGTACGGCCTGCAAGTGCCTCGTTACTATTTTAATAAAAAATGAACCGGTTGCAGGTGGTTATCGACAAGGAGGGACGACAAAGTCATGGGGATCCTCTCGTATTTGAGGCAAGGCGCCGAGGCGACAATTTTTAGAAGCTTTGCCTCCCTTACTCTCTCCAACCTTTTATCTTCCTTCGTTCCCATTTCTAGACACACGCCGCCCTTCCCCTAAACTTGGCTTCACTCGGCCTGTTTCAGCTCCCGTCGATGGACCTGGACTGCTGGAGCACCAGCGTATGTGGCAAGTCGCGTTTGGATGGCGTGGTCAGGCGTTGTGGCTGAGTGGTTTTCCACTTGCGTCGTCTGCCACCTTTGTCGTATTTGACTGTTTGATTGGTCCACTGTTTTTTAGAAACAGAAAAAGATGGCCTGGCCGTCGACAAGGGAGCAAACCAAGAAACTACCAGGAAATGGAAAACATAAGCAGGAATGCGCATGGTCGATCAAGGATACACACCCGACACCCTTCTTTATAGGGCTTGCTGAACTTCTGCACATGGGCTCGAGAGTCGTGTACTTCGTATCCTCGCATCCAGGCATCTTACTACGCATAGCGACAGAAAGAGCTGACGTGTTCTGTAACTTGGCTATTGCAATTCTGGTCAGTGGCTATCGTACAGAGTATTACGTCGTACGCTTCTCGTAAGCCAAACAACTCTAGTTGGGGGGCTTGGAGGCCGAGGAACGTTTTGGCGAATCCCACCTTTTCTCCGCACATGACGTGGAACGTTTGGAAGTGCGTATGCAACAAACGAAAACCACCGCGAGCTGTATGTACACTGAGTCGACAAAACTTGCCATATGCGGTCATTTATAGTCAAAAGTCAGCCTTGGCGAACGATCTGCCGATGCTCCGCCCAGACCCTGCCAGTTTTGTGACGCTTTGAGGCGACACAGAGTTTCTTCGGTGTACGATACAAATCACGGAACATTTACAGTAGAAGCAAGATGCAATGACGACTGACAATGGTATGGCATATTTGTGCGTGTGGTGTGAGCAGTTTGTCCAACGCGATATCCCGTTTTTATGACATTGGTATCTGCCCCATGCATGCATACTCTGTTGACGCCGCTGTTGAAACGATCCTGCTTCCCCTGCTGACTTGTGTATCGTTTTGTTCTACTACAGGAGTATGGAGAGGAAGAGAAACGGCAAGTGGTAATTGAAATAAATGTATACAAAAGAACGGGGAAAGCGGGATAACGACAGTAGTCACCTTTAACGGCAACGAAACTTGCCTGGGCAGACGGGATAGAAAAGCCATGCTCATTCTACCACCCCCCGTCTCGATAACGACTAGGGACGACACGTTATATACTTTTGTGACACGGTGTGTTAAGTTCCAATGGCAACTTCGACCAGCCATCTATATTCGAACGGACAGCGTCGAACAGCTGTTCGGACCATAGGACAGCTCAAAACGAATGCCCGTCCTATCTCTCTCCGCCACTCTCCGCCACTCTCCGCCTCTCTCATCCTTGTCTTATTTTTCTTCTTTGCTTTCAGCTCACTACTTCCCAGCGTTGTCTGCTTTTGGCGGCGCTGTTGGGTTTTCTTGAGTCTTCTTTCCTCTGCCCATCAGATCTGCCGCCACCTCACCAATCTGGTTCATGATCAGGTCCCAGTATCCGCCGCCCGACTCCAGCGTCTCCTGCTCCCGCCGCGCCCGCTCTTTGATCCAGTCCTCCTTTTCATTGCCCATCCAAAGGCTATGCAGCTTGCCGGCATTAGGCGGATCCGCAGCTGTACCGTCTGTCGCCTCGGGCCCGCTCAGCCCCTCCACTAGTTGCCGTCGCCGCTCACGCTCGGTGCGCATAGCCGCCTGCCGTTGTAGCGCTGCGGGAGGAAGGTCTTGTGTTTGGAAGGCCGAGAACTGGTTGGCCCGTCGCTGAAACCGCTGGTAAATGGATTGGCCAGTGTAGTCGTAGACTAGTTGGGATGATGCAAAAAAGGTACCGGCCGCCAGCAGCAAGTTGCGCGGGCCGAAGCGCCGAGGTGGCAGAGCCATACCTATGGGCGCCAGGATGGCTGCCGCAACAGTAATGGCATGTTGTATCGGGGGAGTGCCATGGTATTTGACGGCATGAGGTGACGTGGGAAGAGGGAGGGAGAAAGGATCGGTAGGCGCAGCCGGCAACTCGGCGCTCGGTAGTGGAGATGATTTCGACATTGCCGTACGTGTGTATGCGGTTCCCCCCTGGAGTGGCGTTTCCGATGTAGGGTGCTGGTCGGTTCGCTATTTGAGTTCCGAGTCAAGTTGATGTTAGATCTCAAATCGGCGGAGGGCGGGACAACACACAGAAAAAAAACCCGTGAGCAAGCAGCTAGTGGCACGCTTGAGAATAACCGACCAATCACATTTCACGCATGTCTTCACTCTCATATGAACTTGACGCGCTGCAAAACTTACAGAACATTAATTCCAACCAAAAATCTAAGATTGAAAATCGGGGGACGCAATACTTGAAGATATGAAAGAAAAAGAAAAAAATACTAAATGAAACAATGTACAGTTAGACGCCTCTAGTACGTGATCGTGGCAATATGACGCGCATAGTTGGCCGGCAACTCAGCCGGAAAGACCAGGTTCTCAGCCAGCCAGCGCCCAGCATCAGCTCGCGAGATGCTATAGCCCACGGTGGACGAGATGCGCTTGTTTGCAATGGGGTCCTCGATGCCGACACGAATGTTCTTGTACATGTGTTCCTTTTTCAACTTGTCCTCAAGGGCCTTAACTTCTTCCTTGGTCGTTTGCCTTTGTCTTCCGTGCTCGTCCTTGGTGGTCATCCTGAGGACCTCGAGCTCTTCTTTGGACATAACAGACAAATTGGTCTCAGCCAGTTGCTTCAAAAATACCCGGCCGTCGTTACCGCCGTTTGCACCGGTGGCGGCCTTGGCCTCGGCCTCGGGCTCGTAGTCGACAAGCAAACTGGGCCGCACTATGGCAAACATCTCGCCTGAAGTCACCAGGGTCTCTTCCATGACAAACTTGTCAGCGTGGGGCACGCGCAGCATACCGTGATACAACGGCAGTAAGGCGAGTGGTACGTCGCGGCCACACTTAGAGATGCCCGTGGTGCTAACGACGACGATGCGCGGCGTGCTGGGGCCGCTGCAAGACACTCCCTCCAGGCGGAGGCGCTTGATGGCGGCCAGGAGCGTGGCCATTCCATTAGCACAGACGTTTGGGTCGTCCACAGTCAGTTTCGACAAGATGAATTTGCCTCCGATGGTGGAGACAACGCAGTCGACGATGCTTCGCTCACCATCAGTTGTACCGGGTACGAGAAGGCAGCGTGCCACAGCATCCACGTCATGGGCATTGCCGCGAACCAGAGTGAGGCGACGTGTTGCGGCCATTGTATCGTCGAGGCCCGTTTGGGCCTCCAAATTGAGGTCCATTTCAGGAAAGATGGCTGTTAACTTGGACGGGTCGCGGCAGAGGGCAACGCAGCGATAGCCGTCCGCCAAGGTGCGACGTAAAGCTGCGAGTCCAACACCGCCTGAGGCGCCAAGAAAGGCAATGGTTCTAGAAGGAGCTGGCTCTGGCATAGTGGTGTTTATGGTGGTGGCGGGACAGAAGGAAGCTGGCTGATGTTGAGTTTGTAGAAAAAGATGTTCCCACGAAAGATCCAGAAACGGTTCTTATACACAGGTTTGTCGGCAACATCTTGTTCCCGACTGACTTTGTTGACTTTGTCAAAACTTGCATTGTGACAACGTTACCAATTGTCGGACAAGTGCTCTTGTACGTGGAGCGCGCAAGGCTGAGAGGATGGTTGAGCCGGGTCAACCTTAGTCGAAAGAACACTTGGAAGCCGTGGCGCGTTGATCCGGTTCTGTGGACCGAGAAAGACGCGGGCGGGCCAAAATTGGCCCGCCTGCTCCTGAACGGGCAGGCGTCACAATGAGTTCATCGCCAGCGCCCTCTGCTTTGCGACAGGCGCTGAAACGGAGAGCGGAGGTCGTCGTGAATTCAACAGGAGACCATTTGCATAACGAGACAGCTACCGAGAAGCTCGCATGTCGGCAGGAAGAACAAGGAGGAAGTACGATACCCCGACGTCACCCCTGAAGTAAAAGCGCAAGGCCGGCATAGCCCCACCGCCAAAGGCGTCCCCGCATAGGTGTCGGCTTATCTCAGACGACGTCTACGCACATCTCCACACGGCAGTCTTCCGAGACGACAACCACAGCTTCGAATGTCCTCGGTCGCAGTCGATGAGCACGACGGTACTGGATCACCCAGACGCCACTGGTAGCACATCTTCACGAAACCCCGCCTCAGCCTTATGTATGACGACCCCAGCCGGTTTTGTATGACGACCCCAGCCGGTTTTGATCGAGACAGAGTCGGCTCGATTGCGGACGCCACAATGTCTGTGGCCACAACAGGCGCACCCGCGCCAATTTCGGAGGCCGAGAAACACGCGACTCCACCTGTGGCTTCGAATGCTCCTGCAAATACGGTCGCCAAGCCACGCAGCTGTGTCACATGCCGCCAACGCAAGGTGCGCTGCGACAAGCTGTCGCCCTGCTCCAACTGTCGTCGCGCAGACATCCCATGTGTCTTGCCGTCGATGGAGCGGCCGCCACGCTGGGCCCGCCGCCTGAAGCAGCAGCAGCAACGGCAACAGCAACGGCAACAGCAACGGCAACAGCAACAGCAGCAACTACAGTTACGGCAAACGGAGCATGGGCACCTGCTGGTCGCAGAATCATCCTCGCAGAGCCCTCGTCCGAATGCTGCATACCTGTCGTCTACGCTCCCGACTGGAAGCCCTCTTGGCGATCCGGACCCGGCCAACGCGGCGGATGTCAGTGCGGTCTTGGGCCGGTTGAAACAGCTTGAGGCACTTGTGCGAGATCTCAGCAGCTCTTCCGGCTCGCCATCGTCACAGATGCCCGCTCTGGGCCCCGCCCCGCCTGCGAACACCACTACCACACCGACTGCTCCCACCACCAGTGCCACCACCGCCTTCTCTCCGCCTGCCGCCGCCTTCGGCACGGTCCCTATCCAGGAGCGCTTCGGGCGCCTGATCCTCGACGACGACGCCTCCAACCGCAGGCGCTATGTCAGCAGTGGCTTTTGGTCTCGAATCACTGACGAACTCGACGTGCTGCGTGCCGAAACGGGCAACCTCGCCGATGGTGAGCACGGCTACTACTCCACGGATGACGACTCGGACCTGGATGAGGATGGCGCAAATGACGGCCACCAGCCTTTCAGCCCAGCCGGCGCTGCGAATGCCATATATGCCACAATGGACACGGCATTGCGGACGGCCGCCGACCGCGGCGCTTTTCTCTTTGGACACAACCTACAACCGCCTCTCGGCGATGCATCACACTACCGGCCGCTGCCATCGCAAATTCCCTTCCTTTTCCAGGTCTATATTGTTAATGTCAATATGCTTGGCCAGGTTGTGCATGTACCCACCATTAACAAGATCGTTGCAGGTCTGCTCGGTGACACCACAGCCTCCATCGAGCAACAGTCTGGGTACCTAAAGCTCTCGCCTGCTACAGAGGCTCTGATGTTTGCAATCTACTACGCTGCCATTGTGTCTATGGAAGACGAAGATGTGAGTTTCATAGCGGACCTTTCGAAACAACTTCCACAAGCCCATTATAACTTGTTGTCCATTCCCTCAATCTAACAGCCATATCTGTCTTATTTTCTAGGTCGTTAAGAATTTCGCCATGACGAGCAAAGAGTTGAGTCTCAAGTACCGGATGGGTCTGGAGCTGTCGCTGGCAAAGGCCAATTTCCTGGACAGCTTCGACTTGGAAATTGTGCAAGCCCTGGTTATCTTCCTGATGTTGTGCCGCCGCTATGATAGCCCGCGCTTCGTCTGGATGATGACAGGCCTTGTCATCCGCATGGCAAAGGGTTTGGGTCTGCACCGTGATGGCTGCAACTTTGGCGGGTCTCTTACTGCTTACGAAGTTGAAATCCGTCGGCGCGTTTGGTGGACCGTCTGTGCCATTGACGTTCGCTCAGCCGAGGACCAGGGCACTGACTTGACCATTTCACCAAACGACTTTGATACGCGGCTGCCTCTAAACATTAGCGACAACGACATCAGTCAAGAGTCTGACGTCACGGACCCCCCAGCCGTGCGCGACGAGCTGACCGACGTAACCTATGCACTGCTGAATTTTGAGGTGACACGCCTTGCCCAGCGCATGATGGCGTCTGCCGCCGCCGCATCCAAGGAGAACGGTCCGCGGGGCGACGAGTTGCTTGATGAGCAGAACCGCATGCTCGACGAAGTCTACCAGAAACTGGAATCTGTGTACCTGCGCCACTCGCCAGACACAACAAGCGTCATCTACTGGACTAGTATTACCATCACCCGTCTCTTCTTGGCAAAGATGACGCTTATTTTGAACCTTCCGAGGCTGATCCACGAGAGGAAGGACTCGGACGGCGCCAGCCCCAGAGAAAATGAAGATCTGCGTATACGATTGCTCTCGTCGGCCATTGAAGTCGCCGAGTACAACGATGCACTCAAGTCGGAGCGTGCATGCCGTCGCTGGCGCTGGCTTTGTGAGACATATACACAGTGGCATACAATTGCCTATTTACTAATGGAAACAGGGCGCCGGCCATGGGACCCTGCCGTCGAGCGTGCCTGGGTGGCTCTGCATGGGCCCCACCTGATTCCAGCCCCCCCATCTTCTGCTATAAAGCAACGAAAGCAACAGCAACAGCAACAACAACACCAGCAAGCGGAATCTCAAGGGCCAGCTCGGCCTGTTGATTCCCGTGCCGCAAGTATTGGGGCTGCTAGTTCTGGGGGTGCTAGCACTACCAACTCGAATAAGAGTGGCAAAAGCAACAAGAGCAACAAGAGCAACACCAGCACGGACAGCAGCACACAATTTTTTTGGTTGCCCTTGCGGCGGCTGTTGGCTCGTGCTCGCCGTCATCGTGCGTCGGAACTCACGCGACTACGTGCCGACACTCGAGCAGCACGGTCGTTGGAGATTGCCTACGACATCGCCGTCGCTGATGGTCGCAGCCGGCCACTTTCCAACCCAGGTGCCGTGGATGCCTTTCGGGTCCGTTGGCGGCGCCTCGTCGGGCTAGAGGGCGGGGCCAATGCTCCTGAAGCATTGTCCACTTCCAAATCGCCCGCTGCGGCTGCGGGCACTGATATAACATCCAGCAACACTTTAAGCACACCCGATTTTCAGAGTGGCGTGCCCTCGTCAAGTCATGTCTCGAGTGCATCGTCTATGAGAGGTCTGCGTAACTTTGGAGACCTATCCGAGGCCGAGTACGCGAGCGTCAGCTTCCCGGCCCCCAATAGTGTGGACGCATTCATACTAAACACCGCTGGTCAGACGCCTCAGCAGCAACAGCAGCACTATCCACGAGAGCAGTTTGCTGCTCCCGTTGGGAATAAACAGGATCTTGGCAGCTCCGGCCCGCTTTGGAACAACTTCGATCCCTGGCAGATCTGGGGTACAACAGAATCAACCGGCAATGCTATTGGGCAGGACGGTACCGCTTCAAGCAACTTTGTTAAGAAAACACCGCTGATGTTTGACGATGACCTTGAGATCGACATGGACGTTGAGCCAAACATTGACTGGGATCACTGGTTGTCAGCATCAAAGGGCTTTTGAGGTCCGCCACTCCCCGAGCTGTGACCGATACAAATAAAAAGAGACAAAGACACGGACAGAGAGAGTGAGAGAGCGGGCGTTTTGTATCTAAGGGACTTGCAGTTAAAACTCAGCTGCTGGGTGTGTCCAAAGAAAGGTGAGCCGAGACGTACGCGAGGACTTAGAACACTATACGTCTTTGCAAGTACGAATCGGAGCCCCATTTTGTGGTTCCTCCGTCTCTTGCTCACTCTCCGTGATGCAGCTAGTTGTGATGTCGTCGGCGAGGCCTCTGCGTCAGCTGAGACGTAATGTTCCGCCGGCGTTTTAGTAGATATAAATGCTTCGACTCCTTCGCATAAGTAGTTTAGACACGGCGCACACCAAGGAAACCCAAGTGCCAGTCCTTTGTACACCATAGCAGCCTTAACAAATAGGCGTTACGCGTTCACAATCGAAAAGTCGGCGGTCTTGTGCTTCATCCGCACAAAAACTAAGCAACTTACAGGCACCCGCAAGGGTCAATGAAACCGATGCATCCCCGTGGCCGCAGTAGGGCGAGAGGTTCTCGAAGGAACCACGCCGACGCCGGCCACCTTGGAGCTTGCGCGTGTAATTACATCACCGAGAAGCGCTTTGGGACCCTGCAGGGCATCAACAAGCGCCCAATGGCACTCGGTCGAGGGGAGGAAAGGATATCTGACAGTCTCTAAAGGTCCGTGGGCAAAGGAAATAGCCGCTTCAGCCCTGGTAGCGGTGCAAATCAGCGATGTAAAGATTTCCCCTTTCGTGTCATATTTTAAAGTATATGTCGTCGAGATCAAGTCTGATAGACGTCTTCTCCCGGAATAGCAACGGTAGATCCCGAGACGGTCTATGCTTCCTTTTCCAGGGAAGACCTCGTGCGTTGGGGGAAAGGAGTCGGCGGAGATTCGATAGCTGGGACGTATGTCGTCCCAGTTTGCATCGCGGCTTGATTTTCCATTCTGCGGAACACCATCATGGCACGAGATGCATATATAATTTGTAGCACCTTCCGTCGTGATGTATATACTACATTTCTCAGCTGTTGATATTTTATTGTTGATGCTTTAGTTGGCATTGGCACATGCTTCTCCCATCAAAAAGCCACAACAAAAGTAATGCGGAGTATGACATATTAGAGTACTCGACCACTACCTACTGGCAATATAGAGAGCCCTCTAACGCCGGAAGTTGGTCCCAGTGTCTGACTGCAGCAATGGTTCACGAAACATTTTAGGCGCCATTTTTACTGACGCTAATGCTTCTGTGGAAGATCAGCGAATGAAATCGTACTAAAACAGCAGGTGCGGGCGTGCTCTCTTCATTCCAGCATAAGGCTCGCTGCTTCCTAGTTCGTCGTCGTAAGTGCATATTCTCGCCTGCGTACTTTTTGCTCGTTTTCTAACGAGCGATTATTTTCGTCTCTTGTCACTTCAAGCAAGCCGCAAGCATGACCCGATTCTGACGGCACAACAGCGGTCGAATCACCCGTGTTGATTAAAATTATCCAGCCCTTCCTGATTTCAAGCCTCGAATTGTGTGCCGCGGGCGCTCCCTCGCAAACAATCCTGTCCTTGAAGGCGGGTCCAAATCGGTGGACTTTAAGCTTCTCGCCTTTCGCGGTTCGGTCTTACCGTTTCAACTCCCTCGACAACCTCCGTCCTCGTCCGACAGTTGGATTCGCCTTGCCCACAACTACTACGAGCCTCACCTCCCTCGCGCTCTTCTCGTCTGTAAACTTTCCCGGAAGACTCGTACGCGCCCATGGCATTCTCTTCCCAACGACGTCAATTCGGTCACAACGTGCGTCCTGCAAGCGGCCATGCCTTCAATGGTTTTGGCACCGCACGAACACTCGTGCTTGGCTTGTCGCGTATCATATTCACGTCTCTGCCTGCCAGAACCGTGTCGGCCGCGCCGCTCTCTGCTTTCGATGCCGTGAGCAAGCGAAGTGCTGCCTTTTGGCCTTCGCAGCACCTCGGCGAGGACGACCCTGATGCAAGCGGTGCCAGTTTATGGGTGCTCTATGTCGCATCGGCTGTTCTTGTTTTGCTTGGTGGCGCCTTCGCTGGACTAACAATTGCGTAAGAAAAAGCGCTTGCTCTTCTTTGTTTTGTTATGGTTTATTGTGGGCAACATCTAATCAGCTCATCTATTTCGCCTTTGCAGATTGATGGGCCAAGACAGCATCTATTTACAAGTGCTCTCCCGTGATGATACCGATCCTCAACAAAAGAACGCAAAGCGAGTCGACGATCTCCTAAAACGTGGCAAGCACTGGGTGCTGGTGACATTGCTCCTCTCCAACGTCATTGTCAACGAGACTCTCCCTGTTGTGCTGGATCGCTGCCTCGGCGGCGGCGTAGCCGCTGTGGTTGGTAGTACACTCCTGATCGGTAAGAAAAGCTCTGATTGGAAAAGCTTGCTGTCCCCTGACATCCATGTGCGTTTAGAGTCGATATTTGTACTGACGTATGTGCAACATAGTTGTGTTCGGCGAGGTCCTACCCCAATCGATCTGTGTCCGTTATGGCCTGCAAATCGGCGGTATCATGGCTAAGCCGGTCCTTGCTTTGATGTGGCTTATGGCTCCCATCGCATGGCCCACAGCTAAAGTTCTCGATCATGCGCTTGGCGAGGACCACGGCACCGTTTACAAGAAAAGCGGCCTGAAAACGCTGGTGACGCTTCATCGATCCCTAGGCGAGGTGTCGGAGCGTCTGAACCAAGACGAAGTGACAATTATCAGTGCTGTCCTTGACCTCAAAGAGAAGCCTGTTTCTAACGTCATGACGCCCATGGAGGATGTGTTTACCATGTCCGAAGATACCATCCTGGACGAGAAAATGATGGACATGATTCTCTCTGCTGGTTACTCCCGCATTCCGATTCACGAGCCATTCAACCCAACCAATTTTGTTGGCATGCTGCTTGTCAAGATTCTAATTACGTACGATCCGGACGACAAAATTCGTGTCAGCGAATTTCCTCTCGCCACACTCCCCGAAACCCGTCCTGAAACAAGCTGCCTTGATATTGTTAACTTTTTCCAAGAAGGCAAATCGCACATGGTACTCGTATCTCAGTATCCTGGTGAAGACCATGGTGCGCTGGGTGTTGTCACTCTGGAGGATGTTATCGAAGAGTTGATTGGAGAGTATGTTTTCGTTTTTTGTTAATCTTTATCCTTGCCTTGCCTATGCGTCGTACATCACACACTAATCCTTGGAAAAGAGAGATCATCGACGAATCGGACGTTTATATCGACGTCCACAAGGCCATCCGCCGTCTTCAACCGGCGCCCAGAGCCCGGCCGACTCGCCACCGATCTTTAGCTTCCGAGTTCGGTGCGACGGCATCGACGGCGGCCACGAGAGTAGCCGATGAAGACGAAGACAACAATGGCGACGCTGAGCCGTCGTTGCAACAGCAAACCATTCCGGTTCTGCGTGCTTTATCAAAGACAAATACCGCTGCTCGTGCCTTGTCGACAAGCCCGAAAACCACGACTGTCATGATGCGGCGCTGTTCAGCGGGTGCCGATGGCCGCCTGACAAGGTCTACGGTCCCGGTCCGAGCCAACATCGACGAGATGTGGCAGCACCTACGTCATCTAGGCCCGTCTAATCGGGCTAACAATCCGAAGAATACCCGGTCAACAACGGTAAAAATCAAACAGGGCCATTCGCATGCTGGGCACCAAGCCCTCCTTGAGCCAGTTCTCATTGCAGATGATTTGGAAAGCCCGCACATTGACGACGAGACGGAGGACGAAGACGCAGGAGAGACCACTCTGCTTTTATCACCGAAGGTATCAAACGGCAAGGATATCCAAGCAAGCTCCCGGGCACCCGTGCAAGATTACGGCACTACCCGAATGGTGTCCCAAAAGCCTGACACAGAGAGAAACGACGACTATACAAATGACGGCTTATACACCGATGCCATCGATACTCCGGCCATTGAAATTGGAACGCGCAGTGGTGAGAGCGTTACTAATAGAGACTCTGGGAAGCAAAATGTTATCATCAACTTGGACCGTGGCGGTGGTAATATCAACGTCGACGTCGGCGCTAGCAAGACCTCTGTTTTTGGTGAGAGTGCACACCCCAGCTCCGAGAGCAGTCCAAACCGCAGCATTGTAGTGGCGGACATCAACACACCTATCTCACGACGATCGCTTGTGCGCAGTGGCAGCATCACGGAGAATGTGATTGAGACGAGGGGTATCCGCAAAGTCATTCTGGAAACGACCAGTTCGGCTGAAGACGACGAGGAGGCCGTGGTTGGCACTGCCAGCAGCGTTATTCAACGGCGCAGTCCTCTAAGTGGTTTCCAAAGCCCCGTGACACGCAGCACTCATGTTTCCGAGGTGGAAGATAAGACAGTCAAGAAAAGGGATCTTGAAACAGCACTGTTTGCGGCTCAGTCCGCGGAAGCGTCCGCCCATATTTCAACACCGAGCAGCAGCCAAATTGACGGCACTGAAGACCAAGAAAGCGATTCTGTTGCCGCGGCCGATGCCAGTGGCCGTCCCAAAAAGAAGACCCGCCGCAAGAAGAGGAAAAACACAAAGTGAAAAAAGCATGGCAATTCTTTAAATGTACGCTGAATTTGGATCTTTGGAGGATATTCTTTGTTGGGAGAAATGTGGAAGAACAGCCGGAACGACAAGACGGAGGTTTCACGATATTAGGAAACATGTGGATTGCTGTAGCTATTTGTGTACAGATTTACAGTGTCCAGCCATACACTATTTCATTAGCAACGTTAGTTGCCTCAGGCGTTATTTTGGAAATATAGGATGGTTTTATATTCTCGTGACGATGGGGTATCAGGTTCGCTCGCGTTGACGGTTGGACATTTCGTCTCGAAGACATTCAACGTTGGCCTGCTTTTATTGAAGGACAGCAAATCAAAGCAACCCCACGCAGCACGGTTGCCGATACAAAATGTCTTCAGCACTAACCTTCCACCATTCTCTCGCACTGATCGCATTGTCCGTCTCTTAGAGGTGTCCAAACGGGCAAGCATCAAGCACGGCGACTGGCTGCGCAAAGTGAACTAGCACAGGGTAATGTAGATATTTTGATAACTCCCCCGGGCGGGCCAAGATGGGGGTGTGGCCGTTGAGGGCTCTGGGTTGAAATGCTAGCCGGGATAAACTTTGCCCTCGGGCGGCGTGGGGACAGGAGGAGAAGAAAGGTCCCCGTGATGCTCTGTGCTTCGGCTGGCCCTTTTTCGCTGTGAGAAAAGTGGTGACCCAGCCAACCTGCCACATGAGGCTGTATCGTCTGTGGTTCGCCCAAACATTTTGAATAGCACCACTCGTAGCTTATAAGCAAGGAGCAGTCATTCATTACGTCTCTATGTAAAGAATAGGATATTACGGAGTAAGAACTGGAAAAAGCCATCCAGTATTGTTTGTTAGTTCATCGCAGGATATTACGTCAACTGACCGGTACGAGATCCCTTCTGCACAACATTGCAAATAGAAGGAAATAAAAAGGAAAACTTATGTCACTGGATAAGTTTTCATCCGAAATACGTCAACCTTCGGGAGGTTGCAGAGGAAGACCCTGCCAGCGCTGGACCGCCATACGACACCAATTGGTCTGTCACAAAATTTCCCTGCCGATACGACTGCCGCCAATTGCCCACCAGTCTCCACCCCTTTATGGGGGGGTGAAAGCTAATACTTGGCGAGTTGTAAATTGAGGTAACAGATATGATCACAACTCTGCGTTTATTGGTGCAGAGGCGGGTTAATCGTTAAGCCCAGTGAGCCAACTTATGTCTACTATATAAGTTCCAGAACCGGATCGGACGCAATTTCACACCCCACCGCAAGGTACAAAACAGCACTAGGTCCGAGGGACTTGAGCGAACTGCGAACCAACGACCACCATCGGAAGCGAAAGTGGATGTGCAAGGCAATATGATGCCTGTCGGTTCCACGGCCGTTTCACCCACGTTGTAAGGAGAATATTGAACGCGAACGACGTCTCTTTGTACGTACACTGGCCAGTCCGATTAAGAACTCGTGCATTCGGAATCGCCCAAGCGACCGTCAAATACAAACCCCCATTACGAAACAACTGTTGCCTTTCTGCCCCCAACATGCCTCTGCACCACTTGATGATCGGAACCTGGACACCTCCTGGTGCCATATTCACGGTCCAGTTCGACGATGAGGCGCTGGAGCTAAAGCTGGTGAAGAGAACCGAGATCCCTCATGATGAGCCAATATCGTGGATGGCATTTGATGTAAGTAGCTGGCGGCTGTCAACCCATGGTGTCCTACTCGAGTCCCCTTGTTGACGGCTCCCGTCTACCCGTTCCAGCATTCGAAGAAGAATTTGTACGGTTCGGCCATGAAGAAGTGGTCCAGTTTCGCCGTCAAGAGCCCGACAGAGATTTTGCACGAAGCATCTCACCCCATGGGAGGCGACCGTGAGTCGTCCCTGAGACATCGCTCCCAATGAGCATATTCATGCAGCTTTCCCACTGACACATACAGCTGAGGCAAACTCCGCTGCGACCAACACCCGTGCCATCTTCCTGCTGCCCGCCAAGAAGCCGCCATACGCCGTGTACTGCAATCCATTCTACAAACATGCAGGCTTTGGGAATGTCTTCACCGTGGGGCCATCCGGCCGTCTTGCCGAGAACATACAGAACTACGAGTACCAACCGGGCACGGGTATTCACGGGATGGTCTTTGACCCGACTGAGACGTACCTGTACTCGGCCGACTTGTCCGCCAACAAGTTGTGGGTGCATCGTAAAATGGCTGGCGCAGCTCAGTCGACCCAGGCCGGCGACGACGGCCAAGTCGAGCTCGTGGGCAGTGTCGATGCCCCTGCGCCTGGCGATCATCCCCGCTGGGTGGCCATGCATCCCTCGGGCCAGTACCTATACGCGCTCATGGAGGCGGGCAACCGACTGTGCGAGTACGTCATTGACCCGCAGTCGCACATGCCCGTGTACACGCATCACTCGTTCCCCCTGATCCCTCCAGGCATCGAGAAGTACGACCGTGCCACGGGCAAGGGCTTGTACAGGAGCGACGTGTGTACGCTCGATCGCACAGGCCGTTACCTTTTCGCAACTGCAAGGGCCAATAGTTTTGACCTAACAGGGTACATTGCGGCCTTTCGCTTGCGCGACTGCGGCAGCATCGAAACGCAACTCTGCCTCAACCCGACGCCGACGAGCGGTGGCCACTCCAATGCCGTGGCGCCGTGCGACTTCTCCGACGAGTGGCTTGCACTAACGGACGACCAGGAGGGCTGGGTGGAAATGTACCGTTGGAAGGATGAACATCTTGCGCGTGTGGTGCGCGTGCGGATCCCTGAGCCGGGATTCGGCATGAACGCCATCTGGTATGATTAAGACATAAAACGATAGAAGGGCCCGCTGATCATGAGAAGACATTCGGCTCCCTCAGGCGGTATCAAATAGCAGAGGTGGTTCGCTGTATTTCCAAAAAGAGAAAAAAAAAAAAAAAAAAAAAAAAAAAAAAAAAAAAAAAAAAACTTAAAACACAAAGGCGACGAAATCCGTCTCTGGCCAATTAATACGACGTCACTACCCTTGGACAAAACGGCGTAGCCTCCCCCATAAAGTAGACCGTAGGCTGTTTTATCACGTGGATATTGCGTCAAGGCGTTAACGCTAAGTCTGGTTAGCGGAGCGCCTCCTATCGGGTGGTCAGCAAAGCAGTGTATGTTGCAGACTTGCAGCGTTGCTGCTCCAGGATGCAGTTAAGCCAGCGGCCGCGTCCGTCTATTGGTCTCCATCAAAACCAACCATCCAGGTCTTTACTATCTTGTATCCCACTTCCACTACGTCCGCTTCCACGACTTATTGCCCTTACATAGGGCAGCTGACCCTGAACAGATCCTCTTTCCGATCCAAAACACCCGCCGCCCTCATCCAGTCTTTTGAAACTCTCTCTTCCTCCTTGCTTCTGGTCGTAAGGTGAATCAACAAACAACATCAACGACACCGCCTCACTTCTTCTCCCTCGCCCCCCACCCGACAATACGCCGACAGCCTTTCTGCACCCTTCTCGCATCACCATCGTTACCATTCCGCATCTCCTTTCTCGTTCTTCTCCAATGATTCGACCTTGCAGCCGGGTCATACCATTGGTCCCCTAAGGTGCCTAGCCTTCGACCGCTGGCCGCCCTTTCAGCTTTCAGCCTGAGGCGTTGACGCGCCCGCGCCTGCCATGGAATGCGATGAGTTAGCCGTGCTGGATGATACTAAAGACGCCGACCAGTTTCGAACCGGGCTGGCAGCCGCTCGCACATTAGGTGCGGCGTTTCCCCCGTCGCCCGTGATGAAAACAAGGGCATTGTCTGATGGTGGCAGCAGCACACCATGCCGCAACCGATTGTCTCCGTCGCCGCTGCTGCTCGGCACCTCTGATCGTCCGGCGTGCAAAGATGACAGCTCGATAGGCAGTTTTAGCAACGATGCCTTCCCCGTGACACCGCGACGACAAGTGGCTTCTTTCCAAGGCCGAAGCATGGCTGTACATATGCCAGCCGACAGCACGCTCTTGTCACACCCGCAGCATCTCCAGGAACAACAGCAGCAGCAGCAGCAGCAGCAACGACAACAACAACAACAAGAACAACAAGAACAACAAGAACAACAAGAACAACAAGAACAACAAGAACAACAAGAACAACAAGAACAACAAGAACAACAAGAACAACAAGAACAACAAGAACCAGATGCAACTCTCCCCCATTCCAAAGACGTGGACCCTCAGCCCCCATCCACCCCTGTTTCGGCTACCAGTGGTGCATACCTGCTGCACCAGCAGCTTCACCAACAACACCTTTACCACAACCAACCGACATACATGTCCAAACCCATACCCCTTTCACCCAAACTCGACCCATCACAGATATATGCATCGCCAACCAATATTTTACCCCGCCGGTCCCGGGGCCTCGACTTTTCGAGGGCGGCTACGAGCCTGCACCATTCTACTCTTGCTGAACAGTCGTCAGGTTCGTCGCCTGTTTCTGGCGGCATTGGAGGTGGCTATGTCGCCATGAATATTCCTGGGCGTAAACCTAACGAATATGTCGGTGCGACTGAATCATCAACATCACTGTGGTCAATGATGGGACGAAGCCAAGACAAGGTATACCCCTCCAGTTCGATAGGAAGCGTCAACGTCGCAGCATGCTCGGAGTCCTCGTCGAGTTCTGACGAAGACGAGGATATGGACGAAGACACAGACGAGCCTTTTATCACAACACCACAGGTTAGCAAGACCAGCAGTACGCACATAGGTGGCCCACAAATTTCCATGCCGTGGATGCCCAGCTCCCCTGCCATGAACAGTCTTCTCTCTTTTACACACCGCCAGCGTCCTCGAAAACAGCCCAAGCGTAAAGCGCGCGGGCCGCTTTGGATGGGGTTCAGCTCCAATGCCGTCCCATCCGCGCCTACGGCGTCTGGTGCTGGGGCAAGCACCATGTCGAAATCACCGCCGTCTAGCTTTGTCTTGGCACGCGACAGCCAGGCGCTGCATCAGCAGCATCCACGGCGCGAGAGTATCAGTTGGGCAGCTAACCAGCTGAACATCTCGGGCAGCGAAAGTGATGACAACCACAAAGCAAATATGGACTCGGGCGAAATTTTGGGGCCTCAGCGTGGTGTTGTCCGTCGTGCAGTGACCCGGCGAGGAAACCTTCTTGTGAGCATGCCTTTCTATTTTACGTATTTCGCCCGATTATGTGCGATTTCATGGACTAACAAAAGGCAGCCGAAAACAAAAGGCTTTGCACGCATTCGAGCAGCCCTTGCAGAAGAAAGCGCACCAGCAGAGGCCGACTTTCGCCGCGAAGCGGAAGTTGTTCGCCTGCTTGAGAGCGACATGGAACAAACGGAACATCGTCTTCCCATTCCATTGCCACTTCGCTCGACAACAACTACTGCCAACTCCAGCCCCAGCATGTTTGACAGCATGGACGATCTAGCAGATGATGTGATGGCCATGGATGCTTCAGCGGGGCTGGGCCTTTCGGTTGGAATTGCAAAGCAACAGACCGATAAGAACGCTGCTGGAAGCAGCCGCCCATTTTGGTCCCGCATTGGGCAACATTCTACTGGCAATCTTGACCACGGCCGGAAAGCAACTACTCCGCCACCCCACCAACTCAGAAGCTATTCGGCATCCAACGTGCCCGACGACACATCCATGGACTCACCGTCCGCAAGTGGAAACAGTGCCAGTGGCAATGCCATCTTCCCCAGTGGTGGTATATTTCCCATGACCACGACCAGCTCTTCGGGGCGTGACACACCGCTACAAGGGCAGATGGCAGCATCTTCGATCGGTGGCGGAGACAACCAGCAGATGCAACCGCAGCAAACATTACGGCAGCAGCAGCTTCAACAACCTGTGCTACCTAGTGCAGCAGAGATTACGCGGCGTATCAACAGCAAACGGCGCCGAGATGATGACCTCGACTTGGTTAGTTTCAAGCGTCGCGCTGTGAGTCCGGGCATGAGCGTGCATAACAGCCCTGTCATGCAGAGCCCGCTACAACGAGACTCACTTCCTTGGGGCGGGACTAGCATAAGTACGCCATCGAATGCGTCGCGCCCGGACAGCGGTGGCGGTCCCGGGGGTGGGATCGGAAGCATAGGGCTGTTTGAGGTACGGAACAACAACAGCGGCGACAACAGCAGTCCCAACAGTAACAGCAACAACGGCAGTACCGTGAACACAAACAGCTCGAATGGCGGCCGGCGAGTCGCTTCTAACACGAAAACCCGCATCGGATACCATGCTATGGCAGATGCCAACGACAGCATCACGCGACTTAGTATTGAGTAAACAGTCTGCTTACATTCATACCCAAGGCGCGTACTCATGCCGCCCCGGTTGACATAGAGCAACTCCTCGTATAAAATTTCCGATGCACAGCATACGCGGTTCAAACAATCATATAACGAGATCATAAATCCCAAGAATAAGCAAATTATCAACTAGATAAACAAATCAAATTCGAATCCGGTGCATTATAGTCATTCAATACTTACCACTTTTCACGTAAGTTGCCGTTGTCTTTGATCCAGCATGTTCATAGGGCAGGTAATTCCCTAAAAGGCAATCAAGAGCTGAAGATGGCAAGGCCCGCATTGTTCTGTAATGCAAAATCACCGAACAAAATAGAAAAGGAATGGGAATTGAAAGAAACTCACTCCACAATGAATATGATCTATTATAGCAGTGCCACTAATTTCTCTCACCTGGGGGAAACTTCACGCTAACAAAAAAAGTAAATACATGGAGTTCAACATCAGACATCAGCAGAATCCGTTAATGCCTATATTATCTTCGGGCACAGACAGTGAGCCGAGTTTTTCGTCCAGTAGGCGCGCCAGCTCGTCCACTTGCCGTCGTGCAATCGCCAGGGTTACCGCGACAGACCCCTTTTTGCTGCCACCAACTGTTGTGGTCGTCGTCCCCGTGGTCGTCATGGATGCCGCGTCGGCGTTTGCGGCGCGGTCTGTGTCTCTGCTCTGGACCACGTCACGACCATGGCTGCTGGAGGGATCAGCTTCATAAGTATCGGCAGCAGCGGCGGTCCGGGCGGAAAGACCAGGTACTAAGCTTCCAGCTCCATCGGGTATCTGCTGTAGTGGCATGCTGATAGGCGTAGGCGAGTCTGACGATGAAGGTGCCGACGAAACTGAAGCGTGGCTCTGAGATGTTGCTGTTGCCACACGCAATAGTGGTGGGGCCGATCTTGGAAGCGTGGACTGTGGCAGCAAAGATGACTGTGTTGTGGTGAATGTAGAGTGATTTGGCGTAGGTGAGGGTCGTGTGGGATCGATCACGGATAGTGTACCCGCTGGATCGACTGCTGTCGAGGGACGAGATCCGTGACCGCTGGGGGACGGTGTCGAACAGGCGAACAAAAGCCCGCAGCGCAGTCGTTGGACAACGAAGACAGCGCCGCCATTGAAGCTAGCCGCTATGCTTACAGGAGAACTGCCATCATGATATCGATCCTCCTCATGATCTTCTCCAACCGGGCTGGCAATGTCTCCGGTGGAACTTGAGGGTAGAAGGGAAGGCGACGACAGAGGTGCGGGTGGCGGTTTGGTCACGGGCGCTGTCTGTCCGAGGGCCACGGCAACAGAGGGAGACGACGACGCATGAATTGTCCAAAGAGATGCCGCAACGGAGCAGTGTGTACGCAATGTGCGCACCGGCAGAGGCGAATCGTATGCGAGCAGGTTGCCAGACGGCGTGACTAACAGGGCAGTTTGCAGTGTGGCGCTTGCTGTCTGCTGGTCCTTGTGTTCTTGGAGGGATTCGAGACTCGCATGCAGGAAGGAGGAGAGGCGACGTGTGAGCAGCAAAGGCGGCGCTGTCGGATAAGCCATAGCACTGGTGTGGGGTTGGAGGAGAGGTTCAACGCAAAGAGGCAGGACGGAGTGCTGTCAGGGTTATGTCGCCGAGCGCCAAAGACCGGTCAGCCGGTTTTGCAAACGAATTGGGCCGGGCACGCCAAGAAAGCGGGAGGCTGTCGTTTGAGAATGACAGTCCAGGATGCGTGTACAGAGGATGCGACGTGGGAACCGCGATGGTGCTAAGGTGATAGTGGTTGTGATTGTGATGGTATTGAGTAGAAAAGAGGGCGGCAATCTGGCACGTCCGGGATCCCTCAGTAGCACACGCAGTAATACTTGTCCAAGGAGTAATTAACTGGTGGGAGACAAAGCAAGTAATAAGCTACCAATCTGGTCTGGTCCAGGCCTACCCACAGGGCTGCAGTGCTTCTTTGGTGGCGGTTTTAGCGCCTGTAGCCCAATGAATGCCGCTTTCAGCCAAAAATGGCACAAGTCTCTTAACGAAAACAAGCCTGTTAAAGACAATGGAATAATTTTCAGACGTCTGCTATCCGCACGTTTACACTGGACTAAATCCCACGTCCCAAGAAGAATCTCGTTTGCATAATCCCTCATAAAAAGGACTTTAGCTGTCCATCGCTCCAGAAGCTGTGAAAAACAGTGCTCAACAGAGTTGTATTCTTGGAATAATTCGTACAGTGGAAGATTATAGATGAGGTCACGTGCGAGGTAGGCGTTAAAGCATATCGATATGTCAACTAACAAAATCCGAGGCATGCTTGTGGCTTAGCAGCCAAATAACAATTGGCAGCCCGAAAACGGGACTACTGCTTGGGGGTTGACAGGCTTTTCAAAGCAGAAAGAACAACAAACAACAAAAAGGGAGAGACTTTAATATAGTTCTTTTTTTACTATCAAAAAAAATCCATTCGAAATCATTGATACTATAATACGTAGGAGTCTACGAGAATCTTCCCTTACTGGCCGGGCTTATCCTCCGCATTAGCGCGTATTCGTCGCTGATTAAAATGAGCCGTCGGTGGTGTTACCGAGGGCTTTTATTGTGGGGGGGGGTTCGACCGCATCTTATGATAAAAGCCGCTGTACCCATCAGTCCAAGACGGCACAACGTCGTTTCAACGCCGTTTCCCGTGCCTTTTGCGACCACAATGGCTTTCTATCAGGCTAGCATGCGAAGGATGCTCTACCAGGTGCCCGGAGCGGCATTCTCCTGCCGCCAATTCTTGCACAAGCCCCTGCAAACTGTGCCTCCGGCGCGGCGTCTGTCCAAAATCTGCAATGCCTTCAGCACAGTCATCCGAACCCATTCCCAGCTGGGCGGCGCCGCCACGGTGCGGCCTCTCGCTGCACCGCCTCGTAGAGTGTGCCATATACCGACCTCGTTGCGGCCTCTTTCAATCTCCACAAGACGGTCCGGACCAAAAACCCCACCTCTATCGCGAGATCCCTCTACTATGTCCAGAGTGAAGACCGCTGTTGCCGCCCCAGCTGCGGGGACCGAGGACAACACCTCTGCTTCCGGGGCCATTAGCTTCCCAGATACGTCATCAAAGTCCGTTGCAATCTGGCTGATTGCCAGCGCCGTCAGTGTCTTTGGCATTGTGGTCTGGGGCGGCCTGACCCGTCTAACAGAGTCCGGGTACGTGTTTGTATCTCCTGCTTGAAGTGCCGGCTGAAGAACGACGGAGAACAGCTAACAGACTGTGTAGTCTCAGTATCACGGAGTGGAAGCCTGTCACCGGCACCCTCCTCCCCCGCAACGAGGAGGACTGGGAGGCAGAGTTCAACAAGTACCGCGCCAGCCCCGAATACGCCCGCCTCAACCCTAACATGACCCTCGAGGAGTTCAAGAAGATCTACTTCATGGAATGGTCGCACCGCCTCTGGGGCCGCGTTATTGGCATGTCGTTTGTCCTCCCGGCCATCTACTTTGTCGCCCGCCGCCGTGTCACAAAACGCATCGCTTGGAATCTCCTCGGCATTGCTGTCCTGATTGGCTGCCAGGGAATCATTGGCTGGTGGATGGTGACTTCGGGCCTGCGTGATGAGCTGTTTTCTCCGGGCGCGCAGCCGCCTCGTGTATCACAGTACCGTTTGACGGCCCACCTGGCTACAGCCTTTGTGTGCTACTCGTGGATGCTCATGACTGGTTTGTCTATCCTGCGTGATCTTCGAGTCCGTGCCGACCCCGCTGCTGCCGCGAAGCTGGCAAATAAACTGGCACTACCGGCTCTGCGGCCCTTCCGCCTCGCCGTCGCGGCACTGACAGCTCTTGTTTTCACCACCGCCATGTCGGGTGCTGTGGTGGCCGGCCTGGACGCAGGCCTCATCTACAACGAGTTCCCAAAAATGGGCAACGGCATCACGCCTCCACGCGAGGAACTGTGGGATGCTCACTACAGCCGCAAGCCTGACCACAGTGACCTGTGGTGGCGCAATATGCTCGAAAACCCCTCTCTGGTCCAGCTTGACCACCGCATCTTGGCCACCACAACATTCTGTTACATCCTGGCCCTGTTCGCCTTCTCGCGCAGCGGCCGCATTGCCCCCGTGCTGCCCCGAAACGCCAAACGCGGCACCACCGGCGTCGTGCACTTGGTTCTGATGCAAGCTACGCTAGGCATCTGTACGCTGATTTACATGGTGCCGACACACCTCGCAGCTACGCACCAGGCTGGCAGCTTGGCACTGCTGACAGGTGTACTTGTTCTTGGCCAACGCTTGCGTATGCCCAAGTCAACGTTGCGTTTGATTCAGAAATATGCCACAAAAGGTCCACATCAGCCAAGCATGGGCTCGCGGGTCACGCCCAAGCTGTAACGCATCCGCTCTTATTCATCACATGCCAGTATTTGGTGTGTATTGTAGAATTATAGAATCTCCACCTAATTACAAGTTTTTTGGTCCATACACGCAAGGAGACCTGTTCTGACATTTCTACGGTGGGAAAGGCGGATTTCCCTTTACGCTACAGTCAGTTACTATGGCGTAAAATGTGAGGCTGGTGCTTGATGTGAGAATATATGAGAAAGAAATTGATATCTCCTACTTGATTGCGTTTAATTTCTCTTTTGTTTATCTCTTGCGTCTTACCGCAGTTCTAACACTCGGGATACATATGAACCCACCCTATCCCAGCATCCTTCAGGAAAAAAGAAAGAAAAGAAAGAACAAAACTAAGTCAGAAACGACAGATGGAGAAAATCCAAAACATTTATGTGACTTAAAACAGTCCCTTTGTCCGTCATATCTACTTGTGAGCAATGCCTTCCTCGGGCATGGGATGCACATTGACCTCCTCGGCGGCAAACTTCTCCGTCGACACAACCTTATCCTCCTTGAGCATCGGGAACGAGATTACCTCCCGGATAGCGTAGTTGTTTGTCATGAACATGGCAAGACGGTCAATACCAAGACCCCAGCCACCGGTCGGAGGCAGACCATACTCCAGGGAGCGCAAGAAATTCTCATCCACAAGCTGTGCCTCATCATCGCCCTGCGCCTTCTGGCGAGCCTGCTCTTCGAAACGCATGCGCTGATCAAAGGGGTTGTTCAACTAGGCGACAGCGTCAGCATAAGGTGCATAAAATCTCGTCAGTCAGATTGAGTACATACCTCAGTGTAGGCGTTGGCAATTTCCTTCTTGCAAACCTATTTACGAACAACAATCAGTCTGGGCTCACATGCATCACTACATAGGAAAGGGACCGTAAACATACAAATGCCTCGAAACGCTCACACAGACCCTTACGGTCTCTATGGTACTTGGCCAAGGGGGACATCTAAAATTTAATGCGTTAGTCCGCTAGTCATGCACACCAAGTAAGTAACAGGAGCTTCCACAGGATGACTTACCATCTGGGGGTGGTTCAAGATAAAGCCCGCTAAAAGCACATAGTGTTATTATGAGATAGCACAAGGTAAGTTTATAAAAACACGTGTTGGTCAATAGACGTACGAGAAATGCACTGGGTCTCGAGATATTCACCGCAGAGAGTGTCGAGCATACGAGCGTTGGTCAGAGGCTGCGCAAGTGGAACATTAGCAGGAGCCGTGCCTTAATCTGCCGGGGGGGAAGGCCCTCAAAGAAAAGTGCCACATACCGGTGGGCATTCCAAGTTCTTCTCCTTGAGAAGGTCCTGGAGGAACTGGTTGGTCCCGTCCGTGTGAAGCTCGTCACCAGGCGGGAACGTCTTGCCCGTACTGTGCTGCTGTTAGTTGTCGGGACACTCCTCACTAAAAACAAAAATAGGGCGGCATAAACACGGCAGGTGATAAGCCAACGGACATGACGTACATGCGCTCAAGCTCGGGAATCATGTCAATACGCTTCCATGGTGCCTCCCAGTTGACCTCGTATTCCTCGCCATGCTGTGTGACAAACTTGGTAATGAATGAGCCAGTCAGGTGTTTCACGAGGCCAGACACAAGCTCTTCCGTAATGGCCATCACATCATAGACATCAAAGTAAGCAGCATAGAACTCAACGCTGGTAAACTCTGGATTGTGGGTCAAGTCAACACCCTCATTCCTGAAGTTCTTGCCCAACTCAAAGACCTTGTTGAAGCCGCCGACAATGAGCATCTTAAGGTACAGCTCTGGTGCAACACGCATAAACAGTTCACGGTTCAGCGAATTGTGATGCGTAGTAAAAGGAAGTGCAGTAGCACCACCTGCGATACTGGCAAGCGTTGGAGTTTCCACCTCGATGAACTCGCGTGAGTCAAAAAAGTCGCGGATGTACTTGATCATCTTGCTGCGCGTCCAGAGAATTTGGCGCGATGAGTCGTTGAACAGTAGGTCCAGGTAGCGAGACCGGAAACGTTGCTCATAATCCTTGAAACCATAGTATTCGGTGGGAAGCATGTGCAAAGAAGGCGACAGGAGCACTACCTCGGAGGCAAAAACGGACAACTCGCCCTCCTCGCCCTTGTCGAGGCGGCTCTTGGGGGAGGTTCGACCAGGCCAGCCGACAATGCCAATAACATCGCCGCGAGCCAAGTTGACGTGTTGTTTGTCAAAGGGAACGCCGCCCTCCTTGATGTACTGTGCCTGGCACATAACCTGGATCCGTGTTCCAACTGTCTTGGTGTCGGCACCGGTGCGAATATCATAAAAGATCAGCTTGCTGCCTGCACGGCGCGTTGTGAATATGCGGCCGGCTAGACGAATTTCACGCGACTTATCAACTTCACCCGACTTGAGATGGCTGTACTCGTTGGCAAAGTTGTGTGCGTCGTAATCCACGAGGAACTTGTGCGGGTACGGGTTCGGGTCATTCGTCTTGAGAAGTCCTTCGATTTGCCGGCAACGGATTTTGTAGTACTCGCGAGGGTCGAGGTCCTTCTCGACAACGGGCACAGGACCGACAGTCTTCTTAGGAGCCGTGGCCGCAACTTCGGCGGCTTTTTGCTGCTTCTTCTCATCCCTCTGGCGTTGCTTCTGCCTGCGCTTGAGCTCGGTCTTGGAAACCTAAAGGGAGTTGGTGTTAGTTTCTCTTCCTGTCGACCGTGGTGCTCGAGTTCTATCGAGGGCGCTCTAGCCGGCTACGATTCAAGAATTGACGCCCTACGAATTCGGTAAACATACACGCTCTCCGGTTACATCGTCGAGGTGAAGATCCGGACTTTCGGCGGTTTCAGTGGAGGGCGTTTCGGCGACGGGAGCAGGTGCAGCAGCCTGCGCGAGAGTCTTTGAGTCGGCCATCGTCGTCAATTGAATTCTCGTGGTATCAAAATAGACAAAAAAAAATTGCAGCTTGCTGGTCCCAAATTGGTTTCCCTGGGTATGGAGGTGATTTGTGTTTGTTAACAGTGTTTGCAGAGGGGCGCAAAAGATCAAAAGCCTCTAAAAATATTTATGGCGGGGTTGCTTCGACTGGGGCAATTGATGATTGACTCACCTGCCCACTACTTGTAATTAATTCGGGAATGGCACAATGAGCCAAATTTTGAACACTAAATGTGGGTCGATATTGAAGAACACAAGGCTTGCTTAATTGCCGGGTTGGGAAAGGATTATCCCATTGTGCGAGGGACTTTTAATGCAATTGCCATCGGTTTCAACCAACACATGTACTCAAAAGACACAAAAAAAAAAAAAAAAAAAAAAAAACCCATAATAGAAAGGGGAACAAAATCCAAAATTTGTAAGTGCTGCTAAAGGCGGGTTTTTGTTTTAACGGGGAAAATCGAAGAAAATAAACGAGAAGACATTAAAAGAAAAAAAATGACCGGTGTAAGGCATCAAGAAAAACCAAAAAAGTGTAAAAGCGTCTCGTTCAGTCCATATACATAGCATCACTACCAAGCGTGTTCATCGAAAGCATGTCTGCGGCTGTGTTCTGGTCCTTGTGATGTCCGTGGATCGGAACATTAATGTTGGGCATGGACCGACTGGCGTTGATCAGTCCGGCACCGCTGACACCAGTCGTTCGTGGAATGCGTTGCGCCGCCGTCCGCGCTGTGGAGATTTTGAATTGACTAACCGTCGTCGGCGCCTGAGTAGTAGACGCCTCTCCGTTTGCTGAAACTCCCCTTGATATTGGTGTATGCATGTGGGCAAACTCGTCACCGTCTTCCATTTCGGCGTCTGCATCCTTATCGCTTGCTCCTTCGTTTTCATCATCGCGCTCTTCCACTTCGTTGTTCTTGTCGGTTAACGCATCGACAGGTGCTTGAGTTGTCGAGACCTGCACAGCCAGTTTGGTAGACTTTGGAGTTCTCCTATTATCACTACCCTCTTCACCTTCGTGGCCATCATCTTCAACCTCGTCTTCTTCTTCACCGTCGTCCTCGTCCGCTTCATGTTGACCGCAACTTGCGTTTTGTCTCCGGTCATCAACGCCACAATTTCCTGCGCCCGGACGGTTGGGGGACAAGACTTCGGGTCGGGTCCGGGTGTGTGATTTTGCCACATGCCTTCCTAGAGCCGACGAAGGTGCACCAGCTGCTGATTGCTTTGTAGAAGGTTCTGGGTTGCGTGCAGATGGCTGCGACAAAGTGTGGATATTTGTTCGTGTCTGCACAGGTGAGCAAAGTGACGGGGTACTCGGTGCTGTTGCCGGTGGCGCGAGGACTACCTGGTTGGCATTACCAAGGGCTGATGAAGCTACTGAGATGGTAGTGGTCGGCGAGCCTAGCGACCGCTGCGCTCCCATTCCAGGGCCAGAAGTTCGGGTCGACACAACAACTTTTTTCCAGCGGCCAATAGCAGTAGCGACGATTGTGCTCAGGTCCGAATGGCGGTCGTTTATATTGAGGCCAACGCCCCTGCTTCTCTGCGAGACAGCCGCGTCCTGCAACTCGAAAAGAATTTTCTCGTCCATCGGTATATGAGTGGGAGGCACGAGCTTGAACTCCCGCGGTTGCTGCAGGCGGTTAAGCTGTTCTATTTGGATTTTGAGGCTTGATGCCTCTTGCCGAAGGCCACTCTGAGCCTCTTTGAGTTTGTCAACTTCAATCTGTTTGTTCGCGATACCTCGTGCCAGCTCCAGGGTCCAGAGCTCGCTCTGCCGTTCGTTGGAGAGTTCTTCCCATGAACGAAATGCCACTTCCAAGTGTTTGCTGGCCTCTTGTTCGAGCGCATCAGCTGACCTCTCAGCGCGTTCGACGGCTTCACGCCGGTCGAGGTGTCGGAATTGTGGCGATGGTGGGTATTTCAAATCATCGTATTGTGCTGTGGTGGCGGCAGCACACTTGACTCTCCATTTTCGAAACTCTTCCCTGAAGAAGCTTTTCAATGCTTCGAACTGGCTTTCTCCTGGCGGAGTGGTTGACCAGGACATGGGGGTAGGAATCTGAGTTGAGGCGAATAGAGTGGGCTGAGCACGGAGGCATTGCAGCGTGAGTGCCGGAAAGTTCATGGTCAGAGGATCAAAGTCAAAAGGCATTGACCCCATTTCGATTTGCTGTCTTTCTAACATTTAGTCGGCTGTCTGCAACGGACAAAAGGGGTGAGAGCATGGATGGGTTCGTGCGCGTGGAATATAAACAGAAAACTGGGTGAGGAAAGGAGGTTAAAGGATTATCAAGCTTACTTTGCCGCCCGCCAAGCATTTGTGAATTCTCTCAGTGCGAGTTCTGCGGCTCGCGCATCGTCTAAGGCGTCTTGCATCTTCTGTTTCGAATCTAGTTGAGCTTCGGCAGTTTGCTTGCCCATGACCCGTGAGGCTATCGGACGACGATTAGGGTCGAAGCCTCTGGTGCTAGAGTCGGCTATAGACCCGGATACTTCCCCACCGTGACCGCCGTTGGCACCGCCGGTTCCATCTGGGGAAGTGACCAAAACCTCGTTCATAACGCCGGTAGCCTCCCAGCGCACGCCTCCTAATGGAAACATGGAGGCGATGTCAGCGGCCGACGTTCCCATGGACGCGTTTGTGACGTTCCCAGCAGCTGGTGATGGTGCGTTCGAAGTCTCATCGCCCGAGACATCGGCCCTGTGCGGAATGGCAGACGGTGTCTCAGCCGGTGTTGTCGTATTACGGCGTCTCGAGGATCCTTTCGGGTGGCGCCGTGTAATACCCCCACGCATTCGGCGAATCTCATCGACATTGTGAATGCCGTCCCGTTTCTTAGGGTTGCGCTCCTTGATGTACAGGTCGAGATGACGGCCGAGAGACGAAGACGTGAACGCCTGGCCACAGTAGGGACAATTTTTGTCCTTGATGGCCTTTGGAGTGTTGTCCTCAGCCTTGGCTCTTAGAAAAACCTCAGACATGGCTTCACTGGTTCCAGCTGACCACCGGTGGCGGATGTCGTCCTCCTAGCAAGGAAATATGGAGTGCACACCGGTGTAGTATCAATATGCTGTGTCCGACGAAACCGAGTTGCATGCGCCGCGTATTGCACCTGTCGGTCTGCGGACAGCACAGTAAACAGAAATGGGACTGCCAAGTAAAAGAGCTGATAAGGATATAGTAACATATGGTGTGCTTTTATTCCGTTCTTAACGTCCCTCTCGTGATGCGTTCTTCGTTGCGGCCATCGTTTTCCCGACAGCTGCCCTAAAATGCTGTCACAACCTTGATACTTTCGACGAGGGGTCTGAAGAGGGTAGCCAGCCGTTATGTATTTTTATTTAGGGGCGCTTCATTGCGTCCTTTCCTGATCGACAAGACGCCGGGGTCAAGGGGGAAATTGAAGCTTGCCCAAAAAAAAAAAAAAAAAAAAAAAAAAAAAGAAACGAAAACACAGAGCGAGAGAGAGAGAGAGACAGAGAAAATAACAAGGGACTGTCGGTTAAGAGATTCTGTCTGCAGGTTGCTGCAGGTCTAATTTCTGGTCGGCTGCAGGTGCGTTAGATTGCTAAGTCTGGGGGCGTGTTGGCAAGTTGCAGCTCCGCATCTGGCGTTTGCCTGTAGCTGTCAACTTCGTCTCCTGCTTCGTTCTCGGTCTTGAGAGGCACGCACAACGTATTTCGATGCGAATTAGCATTTGGGTCCGGCACTGTGTATTGGATCTCTCGCTGGTTGGGACTGCTGTACTTACACTGGCATGCGTTGGGGTTGCAATGAGTGTGCTAGGCCGTGGTTGGCGGAAGACGCAAAGCGCGAGGTTTTGTTGGAAGGTCGCTCGTCTTTCAAAAGGAGACTCATGACAGTCTGCTGGGACCTTTGTCGATTCAAAATTCAAGCTCAAGTCGGGATGGGACGAAACGGACGACCAAAATCCCCGGTAGTCCTTTTGGTGGACAGGGGCGCCGCGAGTTGAATTAGCAGGCAGGGGCGAAGCACCTTACCTCTTACCAGCCGCGCAGAATTAGTCGAGCGCTAATAAGTGTCTCATTGGCCATAAGTGGAGAAAGGCGGTAACAGTAGTACCAGTACTTTACATGTCGAGCGGATAAGTGTGTTTCTCGAGTACAGAGTACGGTGATCATGGATCAAGGCGGACCGAGGAAAGGGCGAGTGGGTAACACGTCTAGGCCTCGATCCAGCACTTGAGGTCAACAGTGGAGCACAAATCCCAGCGGGTTCACCTTGCATAAAAAACAGTGGCTCGAGTGGGCGCGGTTTTTCCTGGGGGAACGAAACACAAAAAACATACTGAGTACTCAAAGTATGTTGTTACTCCGTACGTCGTCCTCTTTAATACAGATGGTACTAAGGCATACTCCATATCAACGGACGATTTTCATTGCATCTCATGACTCATTTCCAAAGCACAGGTCCGCTTGCCTTCGCTCCCAGCAAAGACTCCCGGCCCCGACAAAGGTCGACATGGTGTACAGCACACGACGTCTGTGTTGGGGTTCGGCAAAGGAACCTTTGATAATTGTTTTTGTTTATTCGGCAAGCAGCACTATTTATCCTTCCTCCTGCAAGCGCAAACCGCGCTCCACGCGTCCGAGTGCCTAGTTCTGCGCTGTTGGTTGTGCAGTACAATGCATTAATCACCCCTACTCCGTATAGTTGCAGTTAAACGCTCGGCGTGGGACGTATCAGTGAGTTGGATTCCTATGACGTTGACAGTACGTGCGCTTACATCTCCCAGAGCAAGGTAATCTTACGATACGGCTACGGGCTGTGCTTAATGAAGATGCTCTGCTTGACGTCTCCACGGTGTAGAGGGCACATGGAATACTCAACCCTCCTCACACCCTCTTTTTTAGCTGCTGATCGCCTAGGTGGTAATTCCCTTTTGTTAGGATGAAGATATAGTAAGTTAGACCCGAAAGAGAAATTATTTATCCCTTCGAGAAGGCGAGAGTCCGGCGAATCTACGAGTGTCTCCAAAAAGTAGCATTTCAGGACGATCCAACCTCAAAGTTGCACGAATTTTCGGCAACGGCGTTCTGGCAAGATAAGTAGATATAAATTGTACAGAGTATGGAGTACGCTAAAAGTACGGGGTATTATTAATTGCATCTGACGTATGGAGCTTGCAGGCACGCTTTTCAAGCCCAAGATAACAATTCACACCCTAACGAAACGCATTTCCGACGGACGTCGTATGCCGTAAATGTGTAATATATATACACACGTTCGCCAGCCCAGCTCTGTGGAATGGGAGTGCAGATCACCGCACCGCTGTAGCCGCCGTTTACGGTCCGCTGGAGTAGGGCAAAATGTATTCCGTATGTCGAGACCTGGAACATGACGGAATAATATGTACGAAATAAATCGTCACAATAAAAGAGACAATCGGCTAGTAGTAGTCGTGTATATTCGCAGTTCCCATTTCGAGGCGGCCTAGTTTATACACCGCACGAAGTATGGGTATCGTCAAACCTCTTCTCATTTTAGTTTTCCCCTTGAAGGCATATCACTCACGAAGCTCTTTCTTTCCAAAAACGCAGTTATAGCTACAGTCTTCATATGCCGGCTTCTCAAAGGGTTGCTCGAGTGCCAGGCACTGGCTCTGTTTGTGTAGATGATTCCCCAGTATCCAATCCACTCATTACATTTATACGCTGTCGAGAACCGACCGACTTGGAGCCTTGAATTGGCCGGCGAGCCATACGTTAGGGATGAAAGAGACTGGTAAAGCATCGGACACAAATGCCCTACAGCAAACAAACTTAACTCGTGCAAACATCCTCCTCACTCGTAATTGCCGTCATACAATTCTTGTTGTCTACGTACACTCCTCTATTTGAACAGTTCACGCGCCCGTTGTTTATTGTTCCGGCCCCTTCCTCGTGCAGGAGCTTTCGGGGGTTGTAATCTTATTTGTTTAGTGGCTTGGCCGCCACCAAAGCAGCATGTTTGGCTTCTCGACGAATAATTAATAAACTCGCGTGTCCGAAGTCAGGTAAGGGTCGCGGCTCTGAGTCGTAAGAAAACCGATGTTGCTGTATCCCAACTCTACCTCATACGAATATGTGCCCGACACATTATTTAAAAACGTGTCATCTATAACACGTATTCTCGCCTTTGTTCTTACCTCCCAGTTTGCCTCCTGGTTCTTCCTACATTTGTTTTGACTACGGACAAAGAAAAAACCGCTCTCGGGGTAACGTCATTTTAGGCCAGAAGCTCACAGGCTTTCTGTTAATTTCACACAAAAATATCACACGCCCGTGACTCAAGTTGCCGAGTACCCTTTCCGTACCTCCTGGTTAGCCTCGTGCTCCTTGCATTGTTGTGCCTCTCCTTGTCAACTATTACTTTGCGTCAGTGGTACATTGGGCTTCCGCTCGCGTATGGGTACAACATAAGACCAGCTTTATGCACAACTGGCGACCTTGACACGTCGGTTGGATCGACGAGGGGCTTAGGAGTGCGATGTAGTAGTCCTTGGTCGTGGAAAATTACATGAAAAGGTTGGTGACGTAAGTTAACTTCGCGGTGCTGCCAGTACTATGTAAATACAAAACATCATTTCAACGATATGCGAATCGTTCTTAAAGGCAAAATCTTAATCGTTAAGTAAGTTCTTGTCTCAGTTCTCGCCTATCTCCCTTTCTGCCCCTGGTCCTTTTTGAGTGACCCTCTCCCTTTCTGGACTTCTTATCTTCCTTTCTAATAGCCCTTTTATTCTCGTCTTTCCTTATTTGCTATTTCTCGCATTGATTTACTTCTCAGGAATCAAATAATTATTTGTTTTGTAATGTTTCCCTTAACGCTACTATAAAAAAAAACTTCGCTCATTGTGAAAACTAAGAATACTACACTTTCTCGTAAGAAATCCGTGCTCTCCGGATGTCGTGACTTCAGGGTTTGCCTACAAGATGTATCGAATGTTGTTTTACGACATAGAGTGGGCTTTACAACATACATACGAAATGAGTCGTATGAAAAAAGAAAGTTCGGGAGAAACTGTTTAAAAGTTGGTGATGTAAATGATATTGCGCGTTTGAGACCCTGATAGTCTCATGAATATCGCCCTTATCGACGTCTTTGCATCAAGTCCTATCCGTCGTCGTACTTCGAACTTTTCATAGAACAGCACGTTCTTGTCATACTTCCACGACTTGATCTGAATGACATTCAAATGCGCCCCTCGTAACTCGACTCTCTTCCCATCTAACGTAATTCCATAGTGAGACGCTTACATCGACTCGAAACCCGGAACCCCTACAACGACTGCATCGTAGATAGCTTAGCTCGGCTAGCTATGAGAACGTTTACACGTCAGCTTTTATTAAAGCAAATTCGTTGCTGAGGTGCCAAAAGATAACCGCAAAACATTGTACCCAGCCAACTCTATACATGGCATCAACTAATAAACTACAGTCCACCTACGAGAATTTCAAATCCTCACAACGGCCTGGTTCGCGGCTTCCGCTGTGATTATGTCATCATCTCTCCGATGCGCGACATCATGCCACCGAATCGTGATTTCCCACTTAGGCAACTTTTGTCGAAAGTCGCTTCTGAACAGTTGGCTTTCCCGAGCGTGTCGGCGCCACTGGGAAGGGCGCAATTCCCCCACTGTTTTTACACGACACTGAAAATACACTTTTTTTTGCCGTCTTGTTTTCCGGTCTTTTTATATAAAGTACGCCGTGGCAGCCCTGCTCTGATGACGGGCAAGCAAGATCAAGATACCTTTACTTATCACGACTGGTATCTACAATCGCACTGACAGATTCCTTTTTATAGCACAGCCCAATTCGCTTTTAAGCCTGGCTCACCTCCTTCGTCTGATGCAAATCAATCAACATGGCTACAATCCAAGAGCACTCCATCCAATGGCATGAAGGCGAGATTGCTATGCAACGTCTCCTCAACGGACCACACTACAACAGACCGAACCCGACATCCACCGGACTGTCCCAGGCACACGCATATCGCATCGCTGTGTCTCCCCTCGCTGCATTTGGCGCTTTAGACCGCAAGGGTCGTCCTTGGACAACCGTTCTGGGTGGAAGCCCGCAGTTTGCACAAGCTGTCGCACCTGGTGTGTTAGGTGTGCAGAGCATCGTGGATCTGGACTATGATCCTGTTGTCGATGCTCTGTTTGGTGGCGACGAAGATAACGGAGGGGCCAAGGGCAACGGGGAATTGCAACGTCCTGGCCCCGAATACGGGCCTATAATGGCAGGCTTAAGCATTAACCTCATTACTCGGGATCGAGTGAAACTTGCCGGAAGGATGATTGCCGGTGCAGTGTCCATGAGACCGGATGGACCAGTGGGAGAGGAAGGGCCACACCTTGGCCGTATCGGTAAGATGCAGCTATCCCTTCTCGTGCGGGAGGTCCTTGGCAACTGTCCAAAGTACCTAAACCAAAAGAGAATCATGGATCACAAACCACGTCCCCAGCTAGTCTATGACTCGGACAGGTCACCTGGGCCACTTCCCCGAGCCGGTTTTGAACTCATCGAAGGTGCCGACTTGTTTTTTCTCTCGTCTACTGACGGGAAAACCATGGACACGAATCACCGTGGCGGATCACCGGGGTTTCTGCGAGTAGCTGATGAGGGTGGCCAATCCCCAAACCACACCGCTCTGACTCTTGTCTACCCCGAGTTTTCCGGCAACCGCCTTTACCAGACACTGGGCAACTTGAAGGTTAACCCACTCGTCGGCCTAGTCATTCCAGACTTTGATACCGGGAATGTGGTTTATCTCACGGGCCAAACAAAAATCCTCGTTGGCCCAGAGGCGAGAGCATACCTACCACATACGAAGTTGGCAGTCCGTATTGAGGTAGAACGAACCATATTTGTCGCAGACGGCCTTCCCTTCCGTGGCGAAACCATCGACTTCTCTCCTTACAACCCCCCTGTTCAACCCCTCCTGTGTAAAGCTCTTGTTGCAGATGAACACGGAACTGTTGAAAAGAAGGAGCCTATTGCCATGGCCATCATTTCGGGCCGTCAAGTGCTTTCACCGTCTATTGCTCGGTTTACTTTTATTCTCAAAGCGACTTCTAAAACCAATGCTACCCAGCTACTGTGGCAGGCTGGTCAGTACATCACACTCGATTTTTGCACCGAGCTTGACCTTGGTTGGTCACATATGCGCGACGACGACCCGCAGTCTCTCAATGACGATTTTGTACGCACATTCACGATTTCCAGCCCACCTCCGTCGCCGCCATCGCCACATACCAATGGCCCGTTGAAAAAATCGTCGCCTGTCGTTTCGATCGAGCTAACCTTGCGTCGCCATGGTCCAGTCACCAAACTTTTATGGCGCCGCGATCTTCGTGTTCCTTTGGAAACTCCTGTACTTGCTTTTGGTGGCGATAGAAATTTTCACATCACCTCACCTCGACATATGGCCGAGAAGGCAGAGTCTCAGGAGGCTATTTTCATCGCTTCTGGTATAGGAATCACTCCCATACTAGCGCAGGCTCCTAGTCTTTTGTCGGGTCAGGGGCTTGGTGCGGGTGTACAACTGCGGGTATTGTGGAGTCTGCGCACCAGTGATCTTTCTGTGGCTGCGGACAGTTTTGATCGGATAAGCGGATTGGCAAAGCGTACAACTATATTTGCGACAGATGCATCTGTGTCTGGAGAGCCAAAGGCAGCTTTTAAGGGATTGGAAGAGATGGGAGCCGTTGTTATTACAGGGCGCCGCATACAGAAAGTTGACATCATTTCTAGCCAAGGTGGGGATCAAAAAATGGTCCGAAGGAGGTTATACATTTGCACGGGGCCAAAGATGCTTGCAGACATACAGAGATGGTTGCCGAATGAGGATATGGTCTGGGAAAACTTTGCATTCTGAAAATCACTCCAGTACTTTAGTCCTGTGCATTTGCTTCTGTGTTGTTAATCAAAGCGCTCGCTATCTGGCTGGTGATTCTGTGTAACGAATACATATGTTAAATGAAGGAGGTTTTATGGCCGCCAGTGCCTAAAGCCGGGACAGGAGCCAGGGTATGGCTAGGCGAAAGTCGTTGAGCCTTCTTCAGACCATAATTCTGGTCTCTCAAGAATATTGCCTCTCTACTGTTCTCGGACTGGAGACGTAGAATGCATTTTGCAATGTGAAGGCGGGTCGTCGCCTCGAAGTTGACAATAAGAAATACTGGCCTCCAAACAATCTCCTGGAGACGAGATTAACCATCGTCTTACCTTGGCTGGTGGTTGTCAAGTAAAACTTGTAATTCCGATGGGCCTGCTAGCATGACAATGGATGCTAACCTACGATTTACTCATATACATATTAGGGTCCGCCGCCGTACCAGTTTGGCAACACGTAGCATGGTGGCTCGGGAGGATTCACAAATCAAAAATACTAGAGGAGGAGGTGGGGGTTGTTGTTGAGGAGAATTGCAAAAGCCTCGACCGCCTTATTATCGTGTCTATCTGCCAAAAAATATGGTCGCTGGGAGGAGTCATGTTACATACAAAAAACAAACAACAGGAATAATCATGCCACTGAAAGTGAAACCCCCCACTGTCACAAAGCAGATACCCAGAATTCAAACCAGAGATCAGAAGTACGGTACCGCAATGCCCTCCGAAAGATAACGCCGTTCCCCCCTTTCCAAGACAAGCCGGAAAAGGACGAGAGAAAATATCAACTATTGTTTCTCATAATACGTGTCAAGGATGCGACGAACGTGAAAAAAGGAAAAATAAAACAGCAAAATTTGAAAATGCAAAAATGCGAAAAAGCGTGTTTGAACGCGCTTGCAACTTCATCTCTCATATGCTCACACGCTAGAATAGGCGAAAATACTCTGCGTAGTCCTAGAATGAGGAAGACGACGACGAGTCTGCAGTTGAGAACAGGTGATGTCTCGCTGAAGTGTTGCCGAAGGAGCAATATGTTGCAGACAAGTTGACCAACCAAGAACTTTAGTTGCATGGTGTTGCTCGAAGATACCGTACTGTAGTCGGCTAGTCATCTCATGGCTATGAGAGCGACTGTAAAGACGATGGGTACATCATGACCCTGAGCTCCCACTACCCGTGCTGCTCGTGATGCTGACGCTACGCCTGGCAATAACCACGAGGCGATAAATACCGAATGCAATAGCTGCAAGAAACACGAAGAGAAGAATAATGATGAGGGCAATGACGTCGTTTTCCTTCATAGCGGCGGTTGAACTGGAGTGGTGAGGAAGCCAAGTAGTAGTTGCTATAAGAGAGGAATGCGGCACGGATTCGACACTCTGCGGCAGGGACTGTTAGGACGTAGTTGTGTGGCGATGTCTCGGTGTTGGAATGCGGTAAGGAAAACAGCCGAGACTCACAAATAGTTTCTGTGGACTGAGAGGCAACGGAATTCTCTGGCTCGTTTGCAAATGGTCTCGCGATGTCTATTCCTGGTACGCGGCAGAACCCCAAAATGATTCTGTATCTCGCGACAATGTGACGGCGAGATTTGGCGTGAAGTGATGCTGTGTTAAAAAGAGGTGCGAGAGGTCCAAAACTGGCCAAAAAGGTTGTTGTCGATAAAATAATGGATGAGTGACTACTGTATGTAAACGACTTGCAGGGAGAAAATGGCAAAGAAAGAAGAAAAACCAGAAAACACTGACAAAACGTTTAAAGTGCACAACGACTGGGTGCGTCCTCAAATAGGCAGTATTGCTGGTTGCCCCGCCACCCATTTTAGAGAAAGTCAATAAACGGCAAGGCTGGGAGAAAAAAAGTGATAAGTGTCCGCTGGAAACCAATTTTCGCCATGTTGCACTACACCAATAGGCTGCTGACAACGCTACCCCATTACTGGTGTGGGGCACTTTTTGGTATCTTATCCTAGCACAGATGATGGCCCATAACTGTGTGTACACCACACGACATATTACTCCATGTTAGTACGTCGTACATGTGGACGTCGGACGGAAATCAAATGTCGAGGTAGTATTTCGTTTGGACGATTAGTTTTCACCCTTTGTTGTGGCGATTGTGATTAGTTTGTAAAACTCGCTAGGTCTTCGTATGCACTTTTTAACCTTGTGTTGCCTGGAGCTCGTCTATTGCTACCGTGAGACGTTGGTGCGTCCAGCGGGACAACTGCCCAGCCACCTGACAATTAGTCCTCGTATTTCTCTCCCATTGGGTCTGCTAGGTGCCTTATGTCCACGCCCAACTCTCCCAGCTATCCAAGCATGGCATCCGTCTGAGCCTTCCTGTGATAGGCATAGCATGATATGCCGCATACACGTTGTCACTACGGGTATAAGCATTCTCCGATGTGTGTATTCACCGTGGAGACCACATCAAAGGCTCGAAATGACGCCTCCTCAGTTCAAACAAACGTGGTAACCTGCATCGGAGAGAAGCTTTGATTGAAGAGTGGCCCGAGCCAAAGAGAAGCACACACGTCTAGGGCGGAGGCACGCCACGCCCGTGAACGTCCTACGTATGCAGCTACCGTACTCCCATAAGCGTTGTAGACATACATAGAATTAACAAAGACAAACAAATGGCGATAAAATATACTTTCACTAAGGACGATTAACGCCCATCGCGCTGGCTACCTCAAGAGCCGAATACCTGCCATGCCTCTTCCTCCAAATTCTCCGTCTGCGCTTCATTCCGTTGGTGTCTTGAAGCTGATACGCGATTCGTAGAAACGAAGGATCTGGAGAGCACAATTGTTAGCAGGCCGGGTTGCTTGTACGGGGGAAGGCGTCATGAGCTATAAGCTCGTCTTACTCTCTGCGGGCATCTCACGTAAGCGTGCTGTGCTGCGTGTTGCGATTTACTACCGTTCCGCCATGTCAAGAACACGCGCAGCTCGCCGTCGTCTCCCCGGAACATCTCCACGTCCACTACCTCATCCTCCCAACTACCTGCTGGAGGTTTGAACACCTTTTGTACTTCTGCAGGCGATTCACGATCTGCTGGGTGGTCTTCGCTCTTTTTGGGCCGTTTCGAAGCGGTCGTGGGACTTGCGCTCGCGGGCTGCCGTCCGCGTTTCTTGCCCTTAGAAGGCTTCTCAAATAGTTTTGGTCGGCCGCCGATTTTCGTAATATATTCACTTAGGATTTCAGACGCATTTTCCCTGGTCGTAGCCACCCACGAGAGTGTTAGTTGCAAGATGATCATCAAGGGGTACAGGTAGCGGATAACCTTGTACGTACGCCAAGTTATCTTCTGGCTCCCACGTGTGATCGCTGGGGCTCTCATATCCTTTCCAGACGACACGAAAACGGGGTTCTTCGTTCTCCTATGCGTGGACTGGTTAGCTGTATCTCTTTTTTGTCATACGCGACCGTGGTCAGTGCATATTGCGCACTCGCGAAGAGGCTTTTGTATATATACTCACGTCCAGCATATGGTCGATGATTTGTTGAACTTCGTATCTGTGTGGTAAGTATGTCAGTAGCTGTAAGTTAATAATCAAAAAAAAAAAAACATTGAGGGAGGTCAGTGGCAGCTTAAATGTATCGCGAAGGAGCCAACATACTCGTCCCCATCTTCGTCGTCTTCGTCTTCGTCGACATCGTCGTCGTCACCACTAGTGCCCTTCTCATTCTGATCCTTAGAATCTACTTCCTTCTTCCTACTCGCGGGCAAGGCTGAACCGTTGGTTTGTGAGACACCCTTGGCACGTCCACCGTCGCGTTTATTCGGCTTGTTGTTGCCGGACGAGTTAATGCTGTCCTCGTCCTCTTCTTCAGCGGCGTCAGCATATGCGCCAGTCTTTCTTCCCCGTTTCGATGGAGGCGGCGTGGTAACGGCACCGACGCCGCTTCCGTCGGACATTTCGTCGTCACTCAAGGCTGTAGACCAAGTTAGAAAATATCCCGTTCGCATACGCACGCGAAGCTCGGGGCCCATGCCACCGTTGCAGATTCAACCTCCTATGCCGAAATATGGAGAGCCCAAAGGCAAGTGAAGACAGCGAAGAAGGGCAAGGGAGGGAATATCGAGGATAGCACAGGGAGTTGCGAAAACATACCTGGAGGCATATTCGTGATCTCAATGTGAAGTTGGCCAGCGTAAACCAGCTGCGGGCCCAAAAACCATATCCAATTGCTCAAGGATGTGCTGTCAACCTGATTGAACTGCCATGAGATCAAAGTGTCCTGGTGGGTGAGCAGTTTGCGGTTCGATGGCGAAGTGTAAAAGTGAAAAGCCGGAGACTAGCACTGGTGCGGATTTGCGTCGCGTTTTCTTTCTGGCACGGTACGCGTGTGCTGCGATCAGGTATTATTACCGCTCAAGTAAAGAGCGGATAAATTTTGTCATGTGATAGATCACACTCTGTCAATGCCAGCATACTGTTGGGGAAACCTAATCTCTCTCTATTGCCATGGAATACTTAGCTGTGGGGCGGATTACATACTCCGAACAGCTTTACTTTCCAGATATTACTCCACATGTAAGGCGCTGTGATTGGCTGTCTGAAAGTACAGCGCAAAGCCGCCTACTGGGGGGCCCAGCGGAGCTAATACACGCCACGCCCAGCGTAACATTGACATGTACTCAGCATTGCCCCTATTCGGTTCTAGGTTTCCCTCTATCCCTGGGAGAGTTGTTCCTTCGTTCTTTCCCCACAGCACAGTGACTTTCGCATTCTGTTGTTAGCAATTTTGTACTGCTGTATTTTTTTCCTTTCCCAGCATCGCCAACTCTCATCTCTGTCCCTCCTTTCATCTCCCGCATCACACTTTGTACTTTCTTCCTTTCACTCGTTTTCCATCTTCCCCCACGTCCGTCGTGCTTGTTATCCACCTTCCTACCGCCTTCTTTTTGGCCGGCTCTCGCGCCTTGGTGACATGCGCCGAACGTCCGTTTCGCTGCCGACCAACAAACGAGCCCACGATCCGTACGAGAAACCCGCTCGCTACGGGACTCATCCGCATCAACTATCCACGCTGGAGCACACTACTGCCTGGATGGCGCAAGCCAAACAAACGCGGTGGATTAAGGCTGTTGCCGTCTTGTCCACCGTACTCTTCCTGTTCTACTACTTCTCGCCCCAAGGCGTCGATCTATATCGTGGAGGTAAGTTGTCTCCTGCAACGTATCCTGCGCTGCTCGTGTGTTTACTTATATCTGGCTAATAAGCGTCAGTTTCGTCCTCTTCTCGTGATGGCCAGGTCCCCGTTGACGCATCATATGGTACCGACCGCTGTACCCGTTCCAGCTCGCGCGACAAACCCATCGTCCAATACGTTCTGATGATCGACGCCGGGAGCACGGGCTCCCGTATCCATGTCTACAAATTCAACAATTGCGGTGCCACGCCCGAACTTGAGAGCGAGGTTTTCAAGCAGACGAAGAAAATTGAAGGCCGCAGCAGTGGACTCAGTGCCTACGCTGATGACCCAGAAAGAGCGGCCCATAGCCTAGATCCGCTCCTAGAAGAAGCCATGCGAGAGGTACCTGACAAACTCAAGGCCTGCACTCCAATTGCCGTCAAGGCCACCGCCGGCCTGCGTCTTTTGGGCCCCGAAAAGAGCCAACGTATACTGGACGCCGTTCGTCTCCACCTGGAGCAAAACTACCCATTCCCTGTTCAGTCCGATGAGGAAGGTGGCGTTGCCATCATGGATGGATCTGACGAAGGTGTTTATGCGTGGATCACGACTAACTACCTTCTCGGGAATATCGGTATGCCGGAACATGAAGAGACGGCTGCCGTTTTTGACTTGGGTGGTGGTTCCACCCAAATTGTGTTTGAGCCCAATTACAACGGCCTAACACAAGGCGGTATCCCTACGAAGATGGCTGAGGGCGACCACAAATATGATTTGGACTTTGGCGGCCGTCATTTCACCCTCTATCAACACTCGCACCTAGGCTACGGTTTGATGAGTGCACGGGACGCCATTTACAAGGCACTTGTGGACGACCTCCAAGAAGCGAACAAAGATGCCTCTGCCGCTGCTTGGGTAAAGGGTACTGTCGTTAACCCGTGTTTCTCTGTGGGCATGGAGAAGACTGTCAAGATCAAGCTGGGTGAAGGACACCCACTGGGCGAGGTAGCTGAGTTGAACATGACCGGCCCCATAAAGGCTGCGCCTGCACAATGTCGCAACCTTGCCGAACGTATCCTACGCAAGGATGCCGAGTGTGGACTTCAACCGTGCTCCTTCAACGGTGTCCACCAGCCCCCCATTGGCAAAACTTTTGCAAAGGAGGCTGTGTACTTTCTGTCGTACTTTTTCGACCGTACACAACCGTTGGGCATGCCAGAGTCGTTCACGATTCGCGAAATGCACGACTTGACAAACACTGTGTGCTCAGGAAGTGATGCCTGGGGTGTATTCTCATCGGTCCCAGGTGCTATGGATGAACTCCGTGACCGCCCCGAGCATTGCATGGACCTCAACTTCATGTTGGCTCTGGTTCATACTGGATACGAAATGCCTATTGACCGTGAGGTTCGCATCGCCAAGAAGATTAAGGACAATGAACTTGGCTGGTGTTTGGGCGCCAGGTCAGTACCAGGCCCTTATTTCAGTTTCCCTGACTTTTCATTTCTGTTCTACCGGGTCCTTTGCTCGCCGTGAATCACAATGCTAACTTTCTGCTATTAGTCTTCCATTGCTGTCAAAGGGCTCCGGCTGGTCATGCAAGGTCACCGAAGTTCATCGCTAACTGAAAATGTTTCGGTTTCCGCGGGAACGTGATCAACGACTTAGAAAATTTCATCAATGTTTACGTTATTCTTAGTAAACAAGAGGACTGGGGCTACAGGTTGGTGCAATGGGCACTGTTTATTGGTGCCTTTCATTACCCTGCAAGAAAATACGTAACATACGGCGTTGGGTTTGGATTTACGTTTTAATTAACCGTTTACTTCTCTCTCTCTCTCTCTCTCTCTCTCTCTCTCTCTCTCTCTCTGTCTCTGTCTCTGTCGGTAATAGGAACGTTCTTGTGTGGTTTACATTTATGGAAGGTACCCACTAACTGATGCGATTGTATTGAAATTTGTTAACATGAACAAAGTTGCGCACAAGTGCAAAGTCTAAGGTTATAATGGCGGAACGACTGAACCAAGAACATCGTCAATCACATCTTCAGGGCTCATCTCTTCCAATATTGTTTTGACGACTGCCCTCTCGCTGCCCCACTGCATGCTTCGTTCATGCATTGGGTGGCGTGAACTGCTGTGACCGACGCTAATGGTCCGAATCCGGTGAAGATATGTCTTCCGGGCCGCCAAAGAAACCAGGGCAGGGGATATATAATCAAGCCGGTGGAGCGGCGCAAGGCACCGGGCCAGATTTTCAAACTGTTTTGTGGCACGAGGCGAAACGCAACTAAGTCCACTTATACTTGGGCCCATGACAACTACCGCACGGTGCATACGCAAAAAGGCCACCACGTTTAACTGGTAGCGGAGCACTTCAGTGTCAACACGGACGTGTTTACTCAAGGTGGTAAGGTGGTCAATATCGGCATCGGAAAAGGCTGGGTAAGTCATTGGCGCGTCGGACATCCCAGGGGTCAGGCCAAGGCTCGAGAGAATAGCAGTCTTGCCCCTTCCGCGCTGCGCCCTGCTAGAAACGCTTTGTTTGACAAGACTCTCACTATCCGAATTTTCCTCGCCGCGCGGTTTGCTGTTCGCATCTGGCCCCTGCTCTTCGAGATTAGGATATCCATGATCTGGGTCATGCCAGTGGCCCATGGAGAAGAAGTCGTTTAAATGGGCTGTCATATAAGGTGCAACTTTGGGTGCCGTGTCTTTTTTACTGGTGTGTTTTTTGGCAACGTCGTCAGCCCCACCCCAACGGAACCCGCGATTTGCTGCAACAACGGCGACAAGCAGAAATGGGCGAGGTGCTGCTTGCATAGCTGTGGCTGCGAAAATGCGACGAGTACGCAACAGCTCCAGTGTTTGAATCTGGACGGCCTCAGGTGCCATATTTAAATTCTTGGCAATCAGAACATCAGCTATAGATGAGGTACCAGCTGGAGTAGTCGCGGTTGTGGCACTTGCAGAAGTGCTTATGTCTGGTGCAGCCAGGTTGCTGGTAACTGACTGTGATGCCCGCCGACTAGATGGTTCAGGAAGCCGTGGTGCCATCGGAAACAAACGGGTGAAATCGGCCGAGCTACCTCCGTTATGCTGGTGGGCTGATGTGCCATTGATATGGCTGGTACGACCGGTGTTACCGATGTCGCTGTAATTTTTGAAGGAAGACAACGTGGTCGATAAAAGTAGGGGCGTGATAAATTCTTCAAGTGTTGTGCCACTTTGGCAGTCAACCACAGTACAGTGCAGTCCAAAAATGCGTCGGGATATCTACAGAGTGAATCGGTCAGTTAAAACCACGGTTGCCAACCAAAGCCTCTGGTTTTCACGTACTAAACGAAGTTCATCCACGAGGCTATCCATAGCAGTTTCCGGTGTGCCAATGACACAGTGCTCATGGCTGATAAGCGACAGAAGCATAGCAAGCTCGAGGTCGCTCAGACGGTGCACCCGGTCAACGATGTCGTGGCCTTCTTCCATTTCTGCCCTTTTTTACTGGAATGGAAGCCAAAACTTTTTCCAGAGAGGCATGGTGACGTGATAGATAATGCACATGGATAGCCGGATATCTGACCCCGTGTTTGTTGACTATTCCATACGGTAAGAAACTGACATTATAAAGAACGAAGTATGATGTATTACTCTGCAATTACGTTGTACAACGTAGCGAGAGGAAAAATGATTGCACCGGTTCCCAACCGGTTTGCTACATATTACTAGTATATTATGCATGTATCAGATATTGATAAGGCTAAGTGAAATTAGTTGGGAGTTCCGGACATGAGACGAGCACACGAGATTCTGATTGGCTGGAGAGCTCGCCATGAACTGATGGATTCTGTTGCCGACTAAGCATGCCGATTGTCACCCGCTTCAAACCACAACATTGTCGTGTCGAGAGCTCACCTCCGCCACGAAGCCTCATATCGTCTCCTCCAGGCAGCCATCTCCCACCTAATACAGCCCCTATAGGCTACGATTGCCAGTATCAACAAACATTCTACTTGCAGTCGACCGAGAAATCAAGCCACCAACTCCTTTCCGAACTTAACCCCGCCGAAGCCGCTACCCTTCGCCAGCCCGCCTTGTTATCTCTAAGGAGCCCTCAACATATTTGCGCTCTTGCGCCCGAACCGCTTACGCAACTTTCTCGCCTACTTTATAGGAAGCTTTGGTGTCTTTTCGATAAACTTTTTTGCTTGTCTGTGCATGTCCCTACACACCCAACGAAACTATGGCCTCGAGAAAGAAGGTTCTCCTCAAGGTATGCACGTGAACCTCCGTCACTTCTTATTTTATTTTATTTTACTGGAACAACACCCTTCTCCTCGAGCCCCATACATCATTCTCGTATACACATAGATACAATGCGCTGATTGTATTTGTGGTTGACATTTTGGTTCTTTCTAGATCATAATTCTCGGTGACAGCGGCGTTGGCAAAACCAGCTTGATGAACCAATATGTGAGCAACGGGCCCCATCTCAACAGTATGAAAAAGAGACGGTATCTAGCTACAAGATCTAGGTATCGAGACTGGCCAAGCTACTCTGGACACGGGCGAGCTTTTTCGTGCCGGAGGAGGTGGGACCGGACATGACATGAGAAAACGAGAGGCTAACTGCTCGGTCGGTCTTCAGGTCAACAAGAAGTTTAGTGCAAGCTACAAGGCAACTATTGGCGCTGATTTTCTCACGCGCGAAGTTCCTGTCAATGACCAACAAGTGACAATGCAGGTAAGACTCATGCTTCTAAGCCCGCCCTCACTGGAAAGCAATTTTCGCTGCAATTTTTAGCTTTAATACTGATTTTTTTTGCCTCTTTCTCTCTATTAGCTTTGGGATACTGCTGGGCAAGAACGGTTCCAGTCTTTGGGCGTGGCTTTCTACCGCGGCGCCGACTGTTGCGTTCTCGTTTTTGACGTGAACAATGCCAAAAGCTTCGAGGCCATTGAAGGCTGGCGGGATGAGTTCCTAGTTCAGGCATCACCCCGCGACCCCGATAACTTTCCATTTGTACGTGGATATAAGAAGTGCACCTCCTGACCGTGCTAGTGTCTCTTTATTTTATCAGACACAGCTAACAAAGTGCCTTTAGGTTGTGCTTGGAAACAAGATTGATGTTGAAGAGAGCAAGCGAGTGGTACGCACAATCCTCTTTTGTGTCGATTAGGACCTCTCAGGCAGGGTTATACTAACTGTTGGTCTGTACCAGATTTCGACTAAGCGTGCAATGACATTTTGTCAGGCACACGATATCCCGTATTTTGAGACTAGTGCCAAAGAAGCCATCAATGTCGAGCAGGCATTTGAGGGTAAGTAGACACGCCGATGATTTACTTTATTGGAGAGTAAAGTAAATAGGGATGTAAAATACTGACCTCGTATCTTGCAGTGATTGCCAAAAACGCATTGCAGCAGGAGTCCGAAGAGTTTCCTGGTGAATACCAGGATCCGATCAACATTCACATTGAAAACGACCGGGACTCCTGCCCCTGCTAGATGGTCTTCAGTGAAAAGAAACATTGTGGTAGAATATATTTACGTGAAAGCTGACGAAACCCCTGGCTTGCCGCAGCACTATTTCTTGGTGCTAGTAAATTGTTGCTCGCATTACTTTATTTGTTTCTCTCTTTTTTCTGTTACCGTATTCTTTTTGTCACCACAATTAAGATACTTTGGCTCGTTTTTGTCTGGCCCAGGCCTTGGCTTTTATTGTTTTGATCTTGGTTTTGTTCACTTTTCGCGTCTCTCGTTTAATTTTATCACTTTTTTTTTTCTTACCGTCGGGTTATTAAATAACGTTTCCTTGTGACCGAGGCTCGACAACAGTCCCATGATGCGCAAGCTGGCGCATGTCACTCAGAGGAGAGGGTTGGTTATGTCAGTTGCAGTCCTGCGTTTTTCTCCTTTCCTCGTCTGTTAAGTTGGGGTAATTGCCGCTCCAATTTATCGTTTGTACCATATACACATGGGCTGTGTCGTGGTGACCAATAGCCCATAACCACCGTATCCCGGGATAAACGCAGCATCCATACGGTCTCTCTCGAAATGGGACTCTGAAACGACACTCAGTCCTTTAAATCCCACACAAATTTGACAGAGAACGTCCGGTAGAGCTTAATCGGCACGGACAAGCAGGCCCGGCAGGATCCAAAACATATAGTAAAGTGTTGGCGGTTGTCGAGTTTATGGTTTCAGATATTGCCTCTCTCGGTCGGCACACCTGAATTTGCTTTTTTGACATGCCTACTGATAAGCACCATGGCGTTTCTTGCCTTAACACACGCCGGTGGTAGCCAGGAATGCGGCCACAGGGAGCATTAACCGCCTGCTAGAAGCAGGTTTCCATCACGTCTGCTGGCTTTCAGCTCCTGCAATTCGCACATCCAAATTTTTGGGTAAGGGAAAGCGAGGTAAGCAGTGTGGCTTTAAGTATCAAAGTAAGGCACCAAGTCCACTCCCGTCCGCGACAAAAACACGTTGTGTTGTGGTTGACTCAATGTGAATAGTAAGGATCCATGTGGAACTCCCTTTATATGGACGGGGGTAGAGTACTTCTGTCACAGACGGCCATAGATACTACAATTCCCGCGATGCTATCCTGTAGTCTACCCCCTCCCCAAAACCCAACCCAAACCCAAATAAAAGACTGAATCGCGTTCCAGTTCCACTATTCGCTCTTGTCCATCTCGAAGAACAGCATCCAGTCTGTAGTAGCCCTTGTGCTCGAACTGAAGAACTGAATAAGGGCGCTCCTCTTTAGGAGCTTAACGTTGTAACAATTGTAATCAGCAAACGCCTGCTGTCTGAACTCGGTGACATCGGTGAGGCAATTCCGGAGGTCATCAGACTTCTCCAGCTTGTCTTTTGTAATGAAGTAATCAAACAAGACCAAGTCAACGAGAACCAAATTCTCGTTCGTGTCTGCCAGCCAAGTGACCTTCTCGGTTTTCTTCACGTCGCTTGTTAGGGTAAACTGCAGTTTCAGCGTCTTGATGGTTTGGCCGCCAGGCCCATTTTCGATCTCTTGGATCGCGTTGCCCCAGTTAATCAGCGCAATCTCTTCGCACACGGCAAAGGACTGCGCGTCGACCTGCTCGAGAAGAACTATGAGGCTCAGAAGCACAGTCTTGGAGCCAAGCTCGGGCTTCTTGATGTACTGGGGGAGTGTCAAGGGCTCGAGACCTGCATCGTCTATACCAGTCACAGCGCAACATACCGCATCCTACAGAACGACGGCCGTATAACGCGGAAGGTCAATGTTATAGCCGGCCCCGGCATCCGATGCGGCAGCACGTTCCCCTGCACCCTCTTTAATGGCCGGGGCGTTAAGCTCCTCGATGAGCGGTGCCAGCCAGGGCGTGGAAGCCAGAACAAAGTTGTACCAGCGGTGGACATGACGGCCCGTTTTGCGGCATGAGGGGATTAGCCCACAAGGTTGGACCGAAGAGCAGACCATATCGCCAGGCCAGCGAGGGATAGCATATGGCCGACGACAAACGTACGCAGCATGAGGCGCGACTCAAGAGCAATCGGATGGCCCTCGATTCTTTGCGGTCCTTGCTAGCAAAATTCGCGGACTTGACTACCCACTCTCCAACCTAACCAGACGTTAATATAGCACACGCAAGAAAGGAAAAGGAAGGGTTTCATATGTAAGAAAGAAAAGGTGAGGTTTTAATTATACCCGTGTGTTCTTCTCAACCGCAGCGGCAACAAAAGCAGCGCAAATATCACCATCCGACACTACCTTTCCACAGGCAAAATCAACCCGGACGACTGACGCACCATCGTTCAAGGTCTTACCGGCTTGGAACCAGCGATAAGGTCCGGCAAGACGCCAGTGATGTGAAGGTGGTTTGCTAGTACCAGGCTTGGTAGCACAAGCGCCAGTTCGGCTTTGGCGGCGATCTCTAGTCGGGACACGGCGACGTCAGGAAAGGTTGTTATCAGGAATGACTTAAAGAAAAGACTTGACTGATGGCGTGTTAGGAAAATGTGGGCACAGAGTGGGATATTTACTCTACGGAGTACGACAGTGCCTACTTCCGGCAGAAATCGCCATACGTATGGATTATTCAACATGAACAAAGTAAAATGTATCTATCTAATACATAATATCTCGTGGTCGACAGGTTAGAGGTCAGTAGGTGAATGCCTGCCAAGCCTCAGGTGACCTAAGGTGTTCCCTTCTTTTTTTCCTTTACACGTTGACTATTAATAAGTTAACTGAACCAGTTAGGCGAAACCACTCTCAGTCTCGGTGACCGTTCGACGGTGAGAAGTGACTGCCAAGAGCGTTGAAGCAACGATATAGAAGAGTAATGCATACGCGCCTTTACATGATATAAATTATTAAAAAAAATATCGTACAGAGATAGCCACGCTACTCAGTCCACACAAAAACGGTGGGTGAAAAGGAAAAATGGCCTGTCCTCAAGTATCTAGAGGTTTCATCCCTTTATGTATCGCGGCTATACCTCCGGTGAGATTTTCATAACCGCAGCCACCGACAAGAAAGCCGGCATCGATAATCATATCTCTGAACTCGTCTTGGCTCGGGAAACGCTCGATGCTCTCTACCAGGTATTGGTATGAGTCACGATCATTAGCAACAATTTGGCCAATCATAGGTATGGCACTAAATGACCAGCGTTTATACGCAGCGTCAAACAAGGATGCCGCCGGGTTTCTGTTGGTGGAAGCAATTTTGCTAAATTCGAGACAGGCAAATACACCACCCGGGCGAAGCACACGGTACGCCTCGCGAAGCGCGGCTGGTATATCGGTAAAGTTTCGAATGCCGAATGCGACCGTGTAAAGATCAATAGTTGACGACTCCACGGTAATGGTGCCGTCTGGCTGGCGGAAACTGGTTGCATCGGCCTCAAGAAAATTTAGCGACGCGAGCTGGCCTACCGGTAGCTGGGATTCAGCACGTTGGCGACCAACAGCTAACATAGATGGGTTGATGTCTGAGATTGTGACGCGCGTTTCTGGATTCTGATTGATGACATGTGCCTGCTTGAGCATTCGAAAGGCGATATCGCCGGTACCACCAGCCACATCGAGAATTCGCTGAGGAGACGTATCCGGTTTAGCTACAAAGCCAGGATTAAGTGACGTAACGAAGTGGTCTCTGCGAGCCCCCATGTTAGTAGGCAAGGCCATGCCATGGGAAGGTGAATTGGTCTTGCAAAACGAACTTCCAAACACGATGCCAACCAAAGGACATCAAGTCATTCATGTGATCATACGACTCGGCCACGCTTGTGAAGACCGATGCAACCCGTTCTGTTTTCTCTAGCTCCGTTACCGTCTCGAAACCAAAGTGTGTTGTTTTTGTTTTGTCGGTGCAGATCCTTGGGAGGCTTTGCTGTGGACATTGCCATGGAGGCGTCGTGTTGGCGAGAAATTGTTTTGCAAGGTTGTGATCGGAGACTTCGTAGGGACAATCCAAGACAACCGATCCCGAGGTAGAGCGGCAGGACGACACGGATCCCTGGAGAGTGGCGCGCGGAAGGGCTGCAGAAGGTGTGACCGTCGAAATGTCATTGTGCTGTTTTTACTCTCGTTGCAGTTTCAGCGCTTGGACGATTCGTGGAGTTGAAACATTCGAAAACCACGTTCGCTTTTCATTAGGTCGAATACTTTCGCTGTGGCTGTGCAGTCACAGCCACACGTTGCTGCGAATAGTGTACAGATTTGATTTGTAGTTCTAACACCCCGCGCCCTCCATTAGCCAAACCTCTGTTTCTTCGTTATGCTTTATTACCCGCCAAGAAAATAAACTTTGAGAAAGAGAATTGTTTCCGCCACAGTCCTTTTTATATTTCCGCACATGGATATCTTTTAGAGTGTTGAGCTGCACTTTTTAAATAAATTGGATGGATATGCGTCGTAATTACTTCCATATTTGTATGGTGAAACAGGCAATTTTAGATGTGAGCAACACTACCATGGCCGGCCTGAAGCTGACACTCGAGGGCATGTGCTTTAACGTTGGCATACTATGGGTTATTACCTTACACGCTGCTCACAGTCATGGGCGATTTTGCAGAGCATTATTGATTGCCTCGTACCAACTAGATACTGTTCTGCGATTTCCTTTCATTCGGTATCAAAATACTATTGCTTTGGCCCGGGGCGCGCGGCAAGTCCACACATTTAAGGCCTCGTTGTTGCAAACACTGGCAGGCCAGTGAGGGCTATATGAATAATGGTGCAGGAAACTTGGAAATGCCATTAAACACGAAGGAGAGACAAGCTTGACCAAGTGGTGTCTTTTCATACTCAAGTGGTTGATGCGCCGCTCGGGGGTGGTAGTATACGGTCTGAAAGGCTTAAGATTCCAGACTGCTCTTGCCACCCTCGTAGTCTCCGACGTCATATTCTTCTGGATATTTGTCAAGGTGGTTCTTGAGCTGCTTCATTTGAGCATGGAGGTCGGGGGTCAGTTCCTCGTAGACATCCTCGAACAGAGCGCGGATGGGTGGTTTTTTCTCACGCTCTGCCTCGTTGAACGTCTTCAGTATGTCTTTCCGAATTGTCTCGCGAGCATCCTTCTCCTTGCCATCATCCCAGCACCCTCTGGCTTCCATCCACTTTCGGAGACGCGATATCGGGTTGTCTCTGCGTTTCCAGTCCTCAACCTCCACCTTGGCTCGATACGCAAACGAATCATCCGACGTGCTGTGGTGGCCGACTCGGTATGATAGGCATTCTAGCAACACCGGTTTTCCACCGTCCTGGAGTGCCATCTTGCGGGCTTGCGCCATGGCCGAACGCACAGCCCAAAGGTCATTTCCGTCCACCCGCACGGTGTCGATGCCATATCCGAGACCGCGACTGGAGATACCATCTCCGCGATATTGCTCAAGAGCTGGAGTGGATATCGAGTATCCATTATTGCGGCATATAAAGACAACTGGGCACGAGCGAGTGGCGGCGATATTGAGTGCGGCGTGGAAGTCACCTTCACTGGCGGCTCCCTCGCCAAAGTAGACGGCTACGATCCGAGGATCAGCCGTAGGATTTTGTAGCCGTTGGATTTTTAATGCGTAGGCTGCACCCGAAGCATGCGGCAGTTGCGTACCAAGTGGGGACGATATGGAATGCTGTACATGATTAATAAGATGAAAAATCGACGGATGGGCTCGTTGACCACTGCTTACAATGTTCAGACGACTGCTGCCATAGTGCACGGGCATGTTTCTGCCCTTCCCCGAATCGTGCCTGTTTGCGAATAATTGACTCATGAATTCCTTCATCGTGAATCCTCGTTGTTGGAAAACACCCTGTTCTCGATACTGGCAGAATATCACATCCTCGGGAGACAGGGCAGATGCAGATCCCACACAAGTAGCTTCTTCACCAGAGGACACGATGTAAAAGCTGATGCGACCTTGCCTCTGGGCGTCGAACATGATAACGTCCATGATGGAGATCGTTAGCATATCACGATATAGCTTCACAACCTCTTCATCGTTCAAGTCGGGTTCGAACGTCGGATCAACAACAACGCCGTGCTGATCAAGGACACGGTACGTCGGCATCGCTGGGTATTCGGATGGAATTTCGAATTTCAAGGCATTGGTGAACACACTTTTGACGGCTCCGGGAAAGGAGACAAAGTTCGAGTCGGGTGTCTGAGAGAGGTTGCCAGAATTTCTTCTAGCTACGTATGCAACGTGAGGTATTTTTCTATGCTGAAGAACGCAGCGCGGTCTCGAAAAGAGGGCCGATGGGGTGACGATGGGTGCGGAAGGACCCCATTGCATAAGGGAAACCAAACACAGTCCCCTGGATGAAAGTGCTCTTTTCATGTTGAGCCTTGGAATGATGTTCCAGCACCAGAATTGTGCGAATGACAAGGATGGAAGCGACAGAAGAGAAAAGGAAGACACAGTGATGTTAATAGCAAAACTGTAAGGTCGCGAAAAGGGCTCAAAACGAGGAATCGTTGGGATAAGTTGGTGAAGTCGTTATTTTTATGGGAGGTGGTCTTTTCCCGAGTGCGGCATGATGATTTGGCCGTAATACCGACGCCTGAGCCGATGAAAACCGCCCAGCCTCTTTGCCAGTTTAGCGTTGCCAAAAAGGCCCCTCCTAATTGTCTAATTCGGTGCCTATGGAGTAATTACACCAAAAGTTATACCTGAACCATTTTTGTAGTCCCGTAGGGGATATTAGAAGCATTTAGCGGCTTAACAATGGCGGGGAAGCCGGAGTAGCTCCAGATCGGAGTGGACTTGGTTGGCATGGGTATTCTTTCCAGCATTACTCCGTCAGTCCGTACTATCGTCACTCCCTAGAAGCAAGACTACATCGTACAAACCGGAAGTTGGGTTTGTCTGGCTGTAACCAGTCGGTGGTAAGAACCGCGACCATTACTCCACCATGTGGCAGGCTCCCAATGGGGTGTGCGAATAAGAAAAGTCTTACATAAAATGAACAATGGCTTTGATTGGTTTACACGCATATCTGACGTAATCGTTTTAGTACCTTTTTTCATCTTTTTCAAAAACATCGCCAACAAAAATACATCGCGAACATTACTTGGGCGGAATCTGAGAGCGGCGCAGAAGGGTACCGGCGCGTACACGGACCTCACGTACATCGGCGGCCCGTGCACCGCGTGCTCGGATGTCTCGTTTTGTACGAGCTTCGCGGCCCTCGAAACAACGGCTCGCGCGGAGCTGTATGCCGTAACAGCAAGCACAGAGCGAGTAGGTGCAAGGCTACAGAATATGTAGGAGAAGTGGTAGCTGTTGTAGTAGGGAATTACGTGGCATATAATTTATACAGCGATTTTGCAGTGTTTTTTTGCCTCTTTTAATGTTTTTCGCGATGCTTCTGGCTATGAAAACGATTATGTTAGATGTTTTATTTGCACATTATGTGTGCACCATTGGGAGCCTAGCGAAGGATACTCTGCACTTTCCATGACATAAGCAAGTTGTTTTACCAACAGAGTCTGAGGCCCCGCTATCCCCCACATCAAGACCTCGTTAGATGCATTAACCGCCTGTCGCCTTTCGTTAGGCTTCTAAACGCCGACAACGCAACGAGTGCATTGCAACTCTTTGCTCAAGTTTATTCACTCGTTTGCCACGACAACATCCACTGCGTTAACATTACATGACGCTTTTCTTTTTCATCCACATTAATCCATCGTCTCATCTCCACACTCATTTCCACCTTTTGCTTCCTTTTAGAGAGGCGCTTTGCAATTTCGAATATTCGTTGGGTGACGGTTGTTCAAACGTTCACGAAGTGTTATCGCAAATGCCCAAACCGTATCCGCGACAACCGCCTACGTTCATCGGACAAACCGAATCATGCTTGCATGCGCGCTCGTGGTGCGGTAACTGAATTTAATCATCGCCACTGAGAGTAAGGCTGGCATTCTGAGCTCGTAGCTGTGCTGTGACAGCTGGCGAACACTCCAGCCCCTCAGTGCCGACAGACGAATATCGACTTGAGTACGAAGAGCCCCATGGCGTAACCCATGGCAGACCTAAGTTCTTCAGCAAAGCCGCGCTCTAGATCGGTTCTCGGTAACGACCCTACCGAAGGTTCTTTGTCCCCAGCTCCATATTCAATCACCACCCGCACACCGATCCCCCAAGCTGCGGCCATCTTGGGAACGCTCGACAACAGCACACAGTCTTCTGTGCCCATACGCTCCACCGCATTGACGGTGACGCCGCATGCGCTTGAGCGATCGATTTTACTCCGTGGAACAAAAACGCCACCTTTGAGGTATGCAAGTCTGCCCGATTTTACTTAATATCGCTCTTTATTGAAGGACGATTCGTTTGTTTGATCAACTTCACAATAATTTCAGTATCTAACTCTAGTATCTAATCCACGCGTAATATCTAGAATAACCCGTGCTTCTGCTCGCCAGATCGATCCGCCACTCGCACAATCTATTGACCCCGTACGCCCATTGACGGGTACAGTTTCCTCTACAGCAGATCAATCGACACTTGCTCCATTTCATTCTCGACATTCATCCGCACAACTGACGCTGGACTCTTTTCGGCAAGCTCACGGAAAAAGAAATTCCCAGGAAATAGCTGTTGCTCGACCGGACTTTGGAGACTACATCGGCGGAACATTGTCTTCGCATAGAGCCAAACGGCAAAGGAAGACACAACCACGACCTCAAAATTCTTTCTCGGAACATTTGCTTCCTTCGGCCGCTTCAACACGAAGTCAGAAGGGAAACATAACATCCAGGATGCCTTCTTCTAGGTAAGAGCCTGAACCTTTTGGCCTCTCCCTTGATTTTTCATAAACTTATCCCACCCCTGATATAGATCGGCCACGGACCATTCAGATGCCCACGATGGGCTTGGCGTGTCGTCTGTCCACAGTGGTGCGAATCCCACAGGTATGTTAACTGTTAACGGTTTACAAAAGACCGGTGCAAGTAGTCCCAAGACGAACTTCCATTATTTGACATGAGTTTTGCGCAATCAGATGTATTAGTGGCTGACCTCAAAAATAAGATGTGAGAATGGCCGAAATACAACCATCCAACTCGCATTTTCACCCCACGAGACTTACAGGGGAGGCCGATGAACCCGACGTTGCTATGTCCGGCGCTGATGACCCGAGTATCGACGCAGGCCACACGCCGTATAGTCGGACCGAGATTGACGAAGACAGAGACAGAGACAGAGACAGAGACATCAACGAGGGCGAAGACCGGGAAAACACTGGCCAAGACAATAGCGAGGGGGACAATGATGACATCGATGACGACGACGAAGACCACGGTGACGATGAAGCGCACCGATATTTTGAAGGAGAACTGGATGAATCTTTCCAAGCCAGGTTTGCTACGCCGCATCGAGGCTCCGGTTTGCCTGTTGCTTTGTCTATGTTGGGCGGCATGTTGTCAATGTCGGGTATCAGTGGCCGTTTGAGGGAGATTTTGAACAATCTTCGGCGGGAAGCGGATCCGTCTGTTCAACTGATTGCCTTGCAAGATTTATCAGAGATCTTGCTTGTATCCAACGAAGATAACTTGATCGGCAATTTCTCACCCGACCCCTACGTGCGGGACCTTGTCGCTCTCATGCAGCCAAACGACATCACGGGGGAAGAAAACCCTGAAATGATGCTGCTAGCGTGTCGGTGTCTTGCGAACCTAATGGAAGCGATACCCGCAAGCGCAGCCAACGTGGTGTATGGCGGAGCCGTCCCTGTCCTGTGCCAAAAGCTTCTTGAGATATCTTTCATCGACCTTGCTGAACAGGCTCTTAGCACCCTTGAGAAAATCTCTGTTGAATACCCTTCCCAGATTGTTCGAGAAGGCGGCCTAACTGCATGTCTCTCTTACTTGGAATTTTTTGCTACCAGCACGCAACGGACTGCCGTGACGACGGCTGCGAACTGCTGTCGAAATATCCCTGAGGACTCGTTTCCGGAGGTTCGCGATGTTATGCCTATTTTGTTGAATGTTCTCTACAGCAACGACCAGCGAGTTGTCGAGCAAGCGGCACTGTGTGTGTCTCGCATTGTTGAGTGTTTCAAACAATACCCAACTAAACTTGAAGAGCTGGTGGGTGTTGACCTTCTGAAGGCCATTTTAAGGTTACTCTTACCTAGCTCGACCAACCACTTCATTGGACCAAGCCTCCACACACAGTTTTTACGTGTCCTGGCAATTACCGCCGACGACAGCCCACTCCTTGCAGCCGAACTCTTCAAAATGAACGTTGTCGAAACGCTTTACCAGAGCCTAACCGGCGTGTCGCCCCCTGCAGGAGTTGACGACATTGCTGCCAAATTGGACAGTGTTCTTGTTATGCAAGCTTTGATCCATCGGCCAAAAGAACAAATTATCGAGACTCTCAATGTTGTCTGCAACCTACTACCGAAAGAAACCGCTGCTGTTCCAGTTGACTCTGTAAATGTCGGCATGAGGAGCGGGCATACGCAGACCCAAAGCAGCCTAGGAACAAACGAGGTGAACTTTTCCTCTTTAATTCCCGAATCAAACAGGCTGAGGCTCAGATTTTTGAGAGATTGCCAAGCAGAGGTCCGGCGATTTACCCTCATTCTTTTGCCTACTTTGATAGATGCCTACTCGAGCACTGTGAATTTGGAGATTCGAATGAGGGTCTTGGCGGCGCAGATAAGAATCCTTTCCAATTTCGACAAGGTTATCATTTTGGAAGCGCTTGAAGCTGTTCCCTTTGCCTCATTTCTGGCCTCTATTCTGTCTCAACAAGACCACACCTCTTTAGTTAGCTACGCGTTGCAGGCTACTGAATTGCTCTTAAGCCGCCTTGGCGATATATATAGATATCAGCTATATCGCGAGGGTGTAATTAGCGAGATCGAAAAGATTGCAGGTCTCCCGGCAAATGGTGACCACGAGTTATCGCCGCTCGCGCATGATTACCCAGCTCTGGATGCCATTCATTCCACCGTTCACAATACTGGCCACCAATCGCCCACAGGGATTTACAATCACAAACAAGGAGACAATGTCGACCTCATTTCGAATCCAGACCATGAGGAGCGAACTTATCGT